TGCGCACACCTGCGTAACCGCCGCTGGCCTGTCGTGAATGGCTCTAGACAGCCTTTCGGCATCATGATGATCAAAGAGAGCCCTGACGATTGCAATGTCTGCTGTGGTGGTAGTGTATCGGAGACGCTGGATTATGACGGATAGCTCAGATACCAAGATAGACCCAGCGGAACAACAAAAGCGTGTACTTCGCCATTTTTACCGTTCTCATTCTTTCGTGATACGCCTGCCGTCCTGCCAGAACCATTTTCTAGGTGTCTCTTTCCTCAGACGGAAGTTGCAGAGGCGGGGGACGCTCCTTCCTGCCCATCATGACAGGAGGGCAGAACGAGGAAGGAACGTGCCTCCCCTCTCTCTTCATGCTCTTTCCTTCCCAAGGCAGGACCTTCCTCCCATCGATGCCCACGCCCCTCCCGGTATAAAATTCTTCACATCGACCGCCTTCTATCGATTCTTCTCCAAAGCCTCAACACCATCACCGTCGAGGTCGAGACATCTCTCGCTCGTTCCGCTCCCACGACCACCATCCTCCATTCATTTCGCGATCGTCTTATCATTCACACTCATTCAGTCCTTCCACAGTCCAACATGTCCCTCTTTCTCTTCTTCCAGCTACTGCTGGCTTCCCTCGTGGCTGCCCAGACAAACCACATCATCCATGGCTTCGAGTACTACGGCTGCGTCAACATCACCTCGGACCAGTTCAGCGCCTTCGTCAACTTCCCCGCCGGCTTCACTCCCGAGCAATGCGAGTCTGCCTGCACCGGCTTCGACTACGCTGCCGCATTCCCTGAGTATGTTTTCCGTCATTGCCGTCAAGGATTCCGCGCTGACGTTTCCTGTGCTTGGTAGTGGCTGTCGCTGTGGACGCAATATCGCGAGCCTCCCCAAGGTGGACGAGGCCATCTGTTCCAATCCTTGCGGCGGCAACACCTTCTATGGCTTCTGCGGCTTCAGCGATGCAACTTGCAGCTATGCCAACGTCTACCGGGCCTGCGACGACTTTCCCTCTGACCCCAACACTCCTGCTCCCAGCTCACCTGGCTCTCCTTACCCTCCCGGTTCGAACCCTCCTGGTGCGAGTCCGCCTGGGTCCAACACGCTCTTTTCCTATCCTCCTGTCTCCTACTTCTCTACCCTCTCCACCCCTTCGACCCCGGCCACCACTTACCTGACCGTTCGTCTTCCGACCGTCACCCGTACCCTCAAGTTGGCCACCAAGTCTACAGAGGTGGTGGTTCACACGGTTCCGCCCGGCGGTCTTTCGACTTCGTGTGCCTGGGAGCATGACCACACACCTGCCCCCTCTTTGCCTCCCATCGAAGGTGCACCTACGGGTCCCATTGTCGTCGTTCAGACCGTCTACGTCCACAAGCCTGCCGAGAACTCCTCCGGACTGCAAGGATACGACACTGCGCAGGGCGATCCTCCTGCAAGTACGCTTCAGGGAGTCCCTCCCGTTGCCACTCGGCCTGGTGCGACCACTCTCGTCGTGCCGACTCTCACCGTCGGGGAGACATCTACTCTCTGGCTGTCTCAGGGTCAGTCCACTGTCACTATCGCCTATCCTCCCCAGACAGCCGCGACTGAATCTACGCTCTGGCCGCCGCAGGGTCAGTCCACTGTCACGGTTGTCTTCCCTCCCCAGACGGCCGCCACCGAGACTACTCTGTGGCCTCCCCATGGTCAACCTACGACCTTGGTTCCGTACGCGGATCCGGCTGACCCCATCGCTTCTGCTCCGGGCAACGCGGGCAATGCTACAATCTCGGCGAGTCTTGAGGTGCCGGAGTTCCGCACCATCATGCCGGACGACCCTCCTGCGTCGGCGACTCAGATTGTCCCTGCCGTCGTCACCACGGCCCAGGCTCACCGCGTCAACGCCGGTATGGCCGGTGCTATTGCAATGGCGTTCATGGCCGTTGGCATCTGATATCAAGTATGAAGGATTTTACCACTGCAGATGGTGTCAATGGAGATCAAGGCGTCGTGCCGCTTTCTTTTTGGGAAATTTTGGAGGTCGGGCAGTGTTGCAGACTGTCGGCCTAAAGTGATGAAGCTGGGAGAAGTTGCAAGCAGATTATGTAGACAATAGTGGCGGCGCAAGCCGCGTCGAGAATACGAGAAAGTCATCTGTCTCATTCATCATGTCTGGTTCTGTGCTATGGCTAATCAAAGACTCTCAGCAGGATTTCATGATGATGTTGCCTTGGAGACGAAACAGTGCTCGGGATGAATCCATCAGGGCGAGGAAGAGGTCAGACACGACGCATCCAAGTTCTTGGTCAGCGGGCGGTTTGGTTGCTGCGGCCATTACAGTGGTCGGATCCAGGGGTACAGTGACGAGACTGTGCCGATGAAGTGCTGTGGGCCTCCTCGACAGCGCAATTCGGGTCTATTTTTGGCGACAAGGACGTCCGCAAGGGAGATCTCACACAGTGCTGCAGCTCCACCTGAGACCCAAAAAGTCCGATGGTTGCGGTTCGGTACGTATCGCACGCCTTCCTTATCACCAATTTCAGGGAAGTCGCACCGATTCGGTACTTGCTCGGCGTCGCTCCCGGCTGAGAAGCAGCGCAGCGTGAGTTGTACCTGACGGGACCTGCCTGACCACAATTTCATCAGCCTGTGTCCCCCGTCGGATCGACTTGCAGCGTCGATTTCTCGAAGAAACAACACAGGCAGCACATCCGGGACGACTGATCGCCTCTCCACCCGGCCGATCAATCACTCTGCAGCCATGTCAGAACCGCATCTCGGCGCATCCAGCCCGAGTCGCGACTCTCAGTTGGAACCGCTGCCGCTGCCGCCGCGTGACGCGCCTTTGACCGCTCCGGATGCGGATGCGGACGCGGGAGAGGCGACCTCGGCAACGGCGATCCAGCACCACGACGATCCAGCCGGCGCCGCACCCCAGACCTCAACCCTGGCCATTCGTTCACGTCCGCTGACTGGAAAAGCCCCCGCCGGCACTGGCGATGACATCTCGCTGGGCCCCTTCTTCGAGGTCCTCACCTTTGACCTGCGCTATCACATCTACCAGCTGGCGTTCGGCAGTAAGATCCTCCATCTCTACCTCCTGTACCGCCGCAGCCTGCAGCCCGACATTCGGTGGCGGAAAGGCCACCAGCCAGTGCCGGCATGGTATCCTCACTCGCCCGGCGTGTCGCCCATGGACCCGCCGTCGGTCGATGCGAGCATGACGCCGCAGTGGTACTGGTGGAGCTGCGTCTGCGCCCCGGATGACCGGAAGCTCGAGACGAAGCTGGGAGACCAATGTCCCAGGGGGTTCTTCCAGACATGCGGTCCCAAGGAGACGTATCTGGGAATCTTGCCGTGGCTGTTGACGTGTCGGAGAGCGTGAGTTTGACATGAGACTTGGGCAGCACACACATCAGACGATGGGACTGACAATGCACCGCAGCTACGAAGAGACGATCAAGGTCTTGTACGCCAGGAACACATTCAAGTTCGAGCAGAGGCTGGAGGCCATGTATTTCCCCTACGCCATCGCCACGCCGCACCTGAACTGGATCACGTCGCTGGAAATCCGCATACCGGACCGCGACGAGTCTCTCACCGACCGCACCCTCGACAAGGCTCCGCGACCGTCGCCTGGCGCCCCTCTCATCACAGAGCTGCGCGCGCTGAGCCCCCGCGATCAGTACCTGCAAATCATCAACCAGATCGCTCCGACCTTTCCCGCGCTCCGGAGGTTGCACATCTCGTTTGAGGGGTCCGTCAGACGCGTTCCCGTGCCAAAGCCGAATGTAACGTCGCTGCTCATCTCCACACTCGGGGAGGTCGACGCGGACGAGTTGGAGGGAGTGGTCCTTGGGCCGATCGACGCGCTGCCGCTGGGGATTGAGAAGCAAGTGCTCTTCTACCAGTCGCTCTACACGGCGCTGCTGGCCGCGGAGGAGAGGCAACGGGGCGAGGAAGTCAAGGAGGTCGAGCATCTTAGGAGCGACGGACGGCCCGGATGGACCAAGTTCTGGCGCTCGCTCGCGAGGGAGAGCGACGCGAAGGCAGGATACTGGGTATGCAAGCATGGCTGATGATGTCCGCCATCATCAACCCCCTTTTTAGCCACCGGTCGGTTCATCGAATGGCCCCGGTTTATGTATTCCTACGCCCCGCTGAAGTGCGCAGGCAAACATCCTCTCAAAGGCATTTTGACCTTTTTCGGGTTGCATTTTGACTTTTTGGTTCCGAACTGCACCGTGCAGCCCACCCTGTCGAGTGCCACCGCCCGACCAGTGTTTTGGGAAAGCAAATAGACAGCCGTCCCGGGGGCTCGCAAGCACTGGCGATTTGCGGAGAAGGGGGAGAGGGGAAACGGAGGTGTGGAGACATTTGAAGTGTTGCAGGGAACCCGCCGCCTCCGGAAAACCGCCCCGTTACAGAATAACTCTACCCGGTTCATCATGCCCCCCGCTGTTATTTCTGCTATTCGACAACACACTTCTTGGTACATGACATGACATGTCACACTTGATGCATCGCAGAAATCCTGGCTAATTCAACCAAGGGGATTAGTAGGGATGGTTCATGCGTGTGTTTGCATACGTTGCATACGAGTTACAGCCCTGGGGGCAAACAAAAGGTCAGGCGCTTTGACGACCACCACCTTGGTTCTGTGGATGTGGTCTTTTCTTGTTTGTTTCATGAAACCATCGTCGATGTGAAATTTGATTTTTGCGGGTTTGCGATTCCGAGAAATCGTTTGACTCTTGGTCACTGTTAACCTGGTGCTGATATAAATATCTCTTGGCTCTCACTCTCGTGGGTGTGGTCTGAAGTCCGGCGCGGGTCGGGTATGCACGCTCGGCTTCTGTCAACCTGTCTTTCTAGCTACAGCAAACACACAATCGGTCGGTCACTAGCGTTGTAGGTGTTTGGACGTTTGGGACTGTCCTTCTAGAAGGAATCGAAGTCGCCGAGGTTGACCTAGTCGACATATCGCCAAAGGCGGCCTTCCACCATCAACGAACTACAAGATGTTCACCCCTCTCTCGAGTATGAACGCCTGGTGGTGGTCCATCCTCGAAAACCACATCTACCCCCTCCCCCCTTACCCTCCGCGCAAACGCACAAAACCAATGGAAGTCCTCTGCGTCGGGCCCCCGCGCTCCGGCACCGAGTCCCTTCAACAGGCCCTCCTCACCCTCGGCTACGACCACACCTACCACGGCTGGGACATCGTCTACGAGGACCCGCCGATCCCGGCGCCCGGCTGGGTCAAGCTCGCGCGCAAGAAGTACTTCGGGCACGACAACCCCGCCCCGGACTCGGGGGACGTGAGCATCTCAGCAGAAGAATTTGACGAGCTGATCGGACACTGCGTGGCGGTGACCGACGCGGCGGCGAGCTGCTTCGCGCCGGAGATGGTGCGGGCGTATCCGCAGGCGAAGGTGGTGCTGAATGTGCGGCGGGATCTGGAGGGGTGGCATGAGAGCGCGGTGAAGACGCTGGTGCATGTAAATGAGAGCTGGAGCTTTTGGGTGGCGAGTTTGCTGGATCGGGAGGCGTTTTGGGCGTGGCATGTGTATGAGCGGTTTCTGTGGGCGTTGTTTTTCCGGGCGCCGGATGGGGATATGGCGGGGGCTATTAAGAGGAATGGGAAGTGGGTTTATCGAGGTGAGTCTGATCTTGGGTTTCTGGGGGAAAAAAGGAAGCTGACGGTTACAGAGCATTGTGATATGATTCGCGGCATGGTGCCTCCTGAGAGGTTGCTTGAGTGGTCTGTTGATGACGGCTGGGAGCCGCTTTGCAAGTTCTTAGGAAAGGAGGTGCCGGATGAGCCGTTTCCTCATGCGAATGCGACGGGGCTAGGAGGAGGGTGGAAGGCCAGGGAAGAGATGGCGACGAAGAGATGGGTTGAGGGGGCGTTGACCAACCTCATCTGGGCGGGGATTTTCTTCGTCGGGGCGGCTATTGCGTGGATGAAGTATGGAAGGTGATGTTTTGAGTCTGTCAGCTGTATAGAGAACCTGACGAAACTTTTACTGGAGTTGAACAGCGTGGGTTATACCGAATATGAGGAAGTGTTTCACCAGAGTCGAAGCACTTTGCTGACATTCCCGGCCCACTGGGGGCTTTGTCATTCTATTCGTGTTCATCATTCTCCAAAATCTTGGAGTCGTTGTCGTCAGCTCTGCGTTTGGACGACATGAACCAAGGTTTCGATCGCTTGGCCATAATTTGTGTAACACAACCCGCAGATAATTAAACCACACTTTCAACAACTGCATCCGGGGTCATTTTCATTATATATCCATTCAATTTATACGCTTAATTAATGCATACTGCTACGCATGGTGATTAATAACAATTATTGGCTCGGGGACGTGTCGATGGCTCAGTTGAAGCTGTCTCTTGACACTCATTTGATTGTTCTCCATATGCCTTACTTATCCCGCCGTGGCGTTGGTAGTCTCAGTTGGCAAGCTTACTGTCTTCGTCCCTCAACGTCTTCGGCTCTCGGTGTGAAGTCTCTACGCCTTCTTCTGGCCTTAAACTCTAGTTCCCACCTATCCACCATCATCTTGCATACGCGTTTCAGTACATCCCAGATTTTGCGCCCTATCCCTCTCAGCCCCGCTTTCCACCTGTCCACGACCACTTGCAACTGGACGTACGTTGAGGCCTCCCAAGGAGTTTTTAATGTCCCTCTAAGATCCCTTTGCCAATCTGACCAATCCTTCCGATTCCAGTTTGTAAAGTCAGGTTGTCGTATAAGATCAGCAGAGATGATAGTCTTGACAACGGGCCCCAGCAGCGCAATACTTACAAACGCGACGACTGCAGTGACAATCATGCTGTGTAGTGTTTGAATGGTAGGCGCTTCGCTCATACTGAAGACTCCGGTGGCAAATCCAAGAGGCAGGAATACAACAGTAACCCAGGTGAAAAGTTGAGTTTCGCCTCCCCGCCGTTCTTCAAGGTCACTGCGTATCATCTCAAGTTTCTTGACGAGCGATTCCTCCAGCTTGAAGATCTTGGTATGAAGGCGATTGAGCTCCCGTATTGCATGCTCATTTGAAACCTGAAGCTTGTGTATTATGACTCGGAAACGGCTTTCGTCTTGGAACGTCCATCGCGGTCTTTCTGCCAGGCGATCTTTTTCTCGATTTTGCCACAGAGTGATTTGTGCCACGTTCTCTTCAATATTCGCCATCAACGTTCGAAGGATTCGTTGTATATTCTCGGCTTGCTTTCTGGAAATGATATTATCGGTTCTTGTGATCGTAAAAACGTCGAGGACCGTCTCCTCCTGTTTTGATGCATCTCTCTGATCGTATGTGGGTTGCTCTTCAGACAAGTTGTTGCACAGACTCAGCCAAGTGGCGTGAAGAATTTCTTTCGTTCCATCATTTGTTCTTCTCAGCATTTCGCCAAAGAGGAGAAGCTCCAAAACTCGCCGCTGCTGCCAAGCATCGGAATCCAGGCTGTCTCCATGTTCATCCTCAAATGGCTTTCTGAATTCATTGAAACAATCAGCACCAAGTGTTCTGAGCAGGTCAGCGCGTCGTAAGTCGTGAACTTCGCCCCTGTTCAACCGGGGTCTTTCTACTGCACTCTCCTTGTGCGGTGTTGTTTGCCTTGGTTGTTCTTGATCCGTTTCCAAAACCCTACATGTCCAGTATCGATCAAAGAAGTCCCCTTCAAATTGGAAGCTCAAGACAACCTTGGTCAATGGTACACTCTGAGCGCTCCTATTTGTAATTGATAGACTTAGAGGCTTGTCAGATTGACCCATGATTGGGCTTTGATTGCGTACCAGTCGGCTGCCAAGACGGTAGAACCACAGGTGTACTTCTGTTGTCCAGATGTTCAACACTGCCACGGTTTCTTCTGTAAAGCGGCTCACACAGGACCTGTGTCTTTGGATAAAGAACTGGATTTGCTCATTCTTTTCCTCCGCTGCGAAAACAGTTTTGCGACAAGCCCTTTCCCCTAATGGAGTGTCCAAGAAGAGAACCCAAAGTCGTTTCTTGGATTTCTCGACTTTTCGCTCTTTGCCCATCAACACTCTGACGTCATCAACATTGGCAATGGCGTAGGTATTCTTTCTTTGGCGTAAAGCCTTGGATTTGGGAACATCGGTCATAAAGCCAATCAAGGGGGTTCCCTTAGATTCGTGGTTTGTAGCTTGCTGACGGCCTACCCAAGCGCCAGTAGTCACCCGATCCCGATCGATGGTACTATCAAGATCAACATTTGGACTTTCCTTGACGAAAAAAGAGGGTTTGCTGTAGAGCCACTCGTCTTGAATCTCAACGATGTTATTTTCATCCACAATGTTGTTAAAAGGCTGAATTCGTCTCATCGTGTGATGCAGCCGAGCCTTCCTTGTGCTAGTGTTTGTCAGTTGCCCATCTCCGAGCAAACTGTATAATTTGGCAGTGGTTCTCGAGATTGATCGTACTTCGTCAAGTATCAAACTTGTGTCATGTTTGGTCGCAGGACTCTGTTTTGCCCCAGAGGCGGGAGTCGTATCCCATATTGCCTTGTGGCAATACTTCCAAAGGAGACATGGTATGATAAAGGTGACCTCCCAGTACCTATCTCTGAACTCTTGTGAGTCATATATGGCTGCCGAGCTCTCGTGACCCATCCACCCAGGGAAAAGACCGTTTGACGAGGAGCCCCCCAACAAGACGGACATAGCCTCTTCGTACATCTCGTCCTCAGATTGCCAGTTCGTAAGATTTTGCTGCCTAGCCACTATGATTGTTAACGCGAGTTGTAGAGGATCGCCCCAACTGCCGAAGTCATCGTTGTCCTCGTGATCTTTTTGGCAGTCGAGAGTGTTTGTCCAAAACTGATTCTTGCGCTGCCCGTCCAGGCTGCGTCGTGTGGCATCTCCCACGTCAAAAAAGCCTGAATCCATCGCAAAAAAAACCGCGATATCTTTCGGTTCAAGTAGAAATCCGGTTTGAGTCAAACTTCGAGTGACCGCGATCATTCGGCTTTGTGACTGAGGATTCTCTGTGGTGAATCTCTTGATCATATGATGTCGAAGAATTTGAGACGAGTAGGGGATATCTGAGGCAGGACGTCTTAGCTTCTGCCAAGGATAAGCCATCTCTGTGGACTTAATGGCAAGCCAAATCAAGGCATGATCTCTGAGGTAAAATGTTTCCTTCTTCTCGCTGCCATAGCGAGGGAAGGCGTAAAGTCCATGTTTGTTGATTTTATCAAGTTCCTCCAACCAATTCTCGATGAGTTTTCGAAGCCCGTCTGATAACGGTGAGATCACTGTGTTTTGCCCTTCGGCCGTCCCGCGAAATCCACAGGCCTTGATAATTTGAAAAGACGCATTTGCGAAAGGCCCATGGGCAACTCCTAAGTCTTCCTTCCCTCCGTCGATTCTGTCTCCATTGATCCAGTAGTCAGGGCAGTGAAGTGTTCCTGACCCCTTTGTAGCTTGCATGACCCATTTCATATGACCGCTGCAAACACGACGGACGCGTGCCTGCATAGTGACGCCCCATCTCCCCGAACAATTGCTTGGACAATTGCAATCTTCCGTGCTGGGTTTCCAGCGATCGAAATATTTCAGCGCTAGTAAGAGGAATTGGAAGGCGTAGCTATGGCCGATTTCGCGTCAGCATGAGAGACTAACTTCAATCACTGCATGAGTGAGTGAACCTACAAGCTAGCGGGCGTGGTCACGCGATGACTCTCCACATCGCCACAGGTGAGAGCAACGTAAGGGATGTCTTTATTCTCGAGATCCGGGATCGGAATACTGCACACAGACAAGATATACTCCAGATTTCTTCCCAGGAAGAAGTCGAGTGTGGGGTCCAAGAAATTAGTCAAGCTGTGCTTATGGTGCTCAACAAACAGCTCATCCATGGTTGCTGAGATCGTTTCCCACTTTGACGCCAGGATTTTGGTGGTTTCGGCTTTGGCACAGCGATCGAGTGTGTACGCCAGGATGATGCTGACCGTTTCGAGACTTTGCCCATTGGATGAAGTAGTCTGTTTTGTCGCTGTCATAGGCCGGATCGTGTAATGGGTGGCTTTCTCTTCAGAATCATGAGCCTCGACAAATTCAGCTGATTTCTTCTCGTCCAATATATGTATGTGAAGAACGCTCTTCATGGCGTCGTCGATGTGTTCTCGAACGAGACAATCAGTGCCTCTACGGGACGTGTACGAGTCATCGTCGGAAACGGCTTGGTTGAACTTATTGATCATATTAACGAAGTCGAGGTTCCTTATCAGTAAATTTGGGCTGATCTTTAGTTCTGGTGCGTAGGAAGGATTGATATGGTCGTCATGGTAGCTGAACAAGAATCGCTGGTAGATGGTGCCTTGGGATGCTATGTATTGCAACTTGAAAGATACTCGGCGCTGGACGTCGCTCCAAGTATCGTCTTGGGAGCCAGACTGATTGCCGTTCTTGACGTCGTCTTGTATTTCGTGTTGCCAAGTCCCCTCAAACGACGGCCATCGATCATTTATGATTTTCGCTGTAGAAGAACTATCAATGCTTGGGCCTATCCCTCCCCCAGAAGATGGGTCTTCGGCCCATCGAAGGAGGGTCTTGAGGCGGTGTTGAATCTGCCAGGGCTCTGGCATTGCTGGATCATCCACACAAAATCCGGTTTTTTCTCCTGGAAAGTACCGACTGATTCTCAACAGGCGCCCGGTCGAGCCCACTGTTGCAGTGACACCCTCATCTCCAAAGGAGAAGAAAGTCTTCCGCCTTTTGGCATGCTCCCAGGCCTCATTGATGGCTTCCGGTGTGGTGTTCGGCGTTGTCGCTCCTGAACAAGACATAGCCCAGACGGCGATTGTGATAATCAGCGTTGAGCACGCTTCTTGTTGCAAACTTGACGAATGAGTGTAGAATTTAAGGTTGTCTTTCTCCCGACCTGCTTGAGAGAAGGCTGGTCTGACCCATGATGTACGCGAAATTAGTGCCAACCCAAGTCTTTGCCGATTCTCAGCCGTGTCAGCCCATCACCTTTCGCCTGCAGATTGCTCACATGCAGCTTACTACTGATCCCCCTGTCCGCAGATCAGCCACAACCACGGCTTGCCTCTTACAGGCTCAGCCCCGAGACATGCATCGGGATGAAAAGACATTCGCTCCCAGCCTTCGACAAAATCGCGTGTATGAGTGGGTTTTATGAGTGATCCACACAATGATCAAATCGAAACAGAGACAACGATGTATGTGCCACAACCGGTGCGATCGACAGGGACTTTACATCTAAGCAGGCCCAGACCAGAAGGATGGAGTTCATGAAATGCGACAGGCAGGAAGGTGTGAAGGTTTGATTTGATTCGATTAAAAACGTGAAGAGCATGGTTCATCATGCACCGACCCCTCACCCAGGACTGGCATTCACTAGGGGTCTGTCGCTGCAGCCAAGATACCATCCCTCCCCGTTTAGCCAAGTGCGCATCATGTTTCTTTTCTGCTCCAATAAAATTGTGCCACCTCCCGGTGGGCGCGGGTCCGGATCTTATACCCTTGAATCAAAAGAGGGGTCGTGTTTTCTAGGCAAGTGATCGCCCTCGTCGTTGATTTTAACGCCTATCACTCAAAGATTGGATTTGCCTCAATTTCCTACGGTAGCCTTGTGTTTCAATATTTGACAGCACAGCAACTGCATGTTGTAGGTCAAGTTCTTCACTGTGCAGCCAGCCTCGCCCAGGATACCGCATTTAGACCAAACTGTCACACAAGCTAGGGCAAGAATCCCTAACCTACCTTATGAGGAAAGGTACGAAGTCTGGGGTGGTATCTTGCTCTATCTCGTGAGCCTGATCAATGGCCCCGTTGCGCGGCGCACCCTGCCTATCAACCGGCGCCGACTTCGGTGGCTTGACGCTGAGGTAATTACTAGTGGCTGACCACTCAGAAACTCACGATATTTCTGTTATGCTATGAAAATACTGTTTCTACCCTCTACTAGCTAGACTTGTTTGCATAGGAAACAGAGGGTGGCTTAACCAGCAGAGGGAAGTCCGGCTAGCAGAGGGTAGGCCAGAAGGTATAGGGCAGGCTAGCAGGCAGAGAGAAGACTTGCACGAGAGCTTCTGGCAAAACAGCATAGCAGCGGACTTCGCACATGCCTAGCCACACTCAAGCCACGAAGGGGCACGCCGATTAAACAGAGGAGTGCGCCGTGGAACGGGGCCCCTGTCTATCTTTCCGACGAGTAGTCTTGCGGCATGCAATACGACCCCAGTTCGTGGAGGCATCCGGTGTGCTTGCTCACAAACATCATCGGTGAGCAGCCTGATGTGATACCTACTACTTTGGCTTTTGGCATGAGTGACTCTGCTCATGTACATGGCTTGGTTACGAGCATGCTGTTTACCATCAATGCCCACTCCACCTGTGCGCCTGGGGCCTTTGGAAGGGAAAAGTGGTTCACTACAAGCATATGAACCATTGAATGATGGATATGTAACATAGTATTTTCCGTTTTCCCTTGGTCTTTTCCTGATTTACATTAACTAGCGGCTAAACCCGGCTTCGCTTCGAAAAGATTGGGTCTTGGACTAGCTAGATATTACACGTCTAGCACACGAGAGTCTATGCAGGTGGAAACCACAGTCTCGACCGTAAGAGCCCATTACCAGAGATACTTCCTCTACAACCATAGTACGTAGCTTTTATGCGCCGGGGGCTTTTCGTTGGCTGCTGACCACAGATAGTTTGCTGGTGCTTCCTTGCCGTCATGGTGCCATTTGGACTCTTTGCTCTTAACTCTCCACTATCAATTTAGCTATACTGTAGAAATTGTTTACAACAGTCCAGAGAACTGGTATATGTCCGTAAATAACGATCGGATAGAACTACTCACAAGCGCATACGTACATCTCTTTGAAACCCCAAGTTGTATAAATACCAGACTATTTAGAATTCGATTACTCACATAAGCACCTACATATGAACTACTTCATCTGGCAAGGAACTTGAGCACCAGTCTCAAAGCCACTTATGTTGCAGGACTCCTCCCACAATCTGTTTCCTTTTTCCTCATCAAAGGTCCATGAAGCATATCCCATGTCAGTCTGAGAAGAGGGATCAACCGCGTGGCCTTGTTCAACACAATCAGCAAGATATCTCCCTCCCCTCCCTTCCCATTCCGCACCGACCGCCGCCAGCACAGATGTTGCAGCTCCCTGGGCCGCGTTTTTCAAATGCCGAATCTCCTCCCAATCTCCCTCCGGCATCTTCAGCGGGTCATTCTTCATGTATCGAGAAATCATGGTCAACACACTGCCAGGATGTACAGAAAGTGCATGAAGCCCCTTATCCCCAAACCGACGCTCAATCTCGTTAGCTAAGTAAATATTAGCCGTTTTGGACCTCGCGTAAGCTCGGAGCGGATGGTAGGGGAGGTAGTCGTAGTTGAAGTCGTTGAAGTCGATCGGGCCAAGTCGATGGAGAGACGAAGTGACGGAGACTACGCGAGAGTTGAAAGAAGGCGAGGAGGAGGCCAGTAGCGCTGGCTGTAGGAGACGAAACAGAAGAAAATGACCAAGATGGTTTGTCTCGAAATGTGTCTCGAACCCATCGATAGTGCTGCTCTTGGGACACGCCATGACTCCAGCGTTGAGGACAAGTATGTTGATCTTGTTAATGGTATTTGAGAGGAAAGCTTGCGCCGCGTTGCACACAGAGGCGAGGGAGTCAAGAGATATCTCAAGCAGTTGAAGCTGTGCTCCACTGTCTGGAGTTGAAGTTCCGGCGATGTCTTCAATCGCCTCCCGACCGCTTGCGAGGTCTCTGACACCCAGGTAGACAGTTGCGCCGGCAGCATGTAGAGCTCGCGCCGTTTCAAGCCCGATGCCTCTGTTCGCTCCTGTCACAAGTGCGGTCTTTCCTAATAGCCCGTCAACAGCAAGTCCTTCATCTTCGATGATTTGCAATGCGGTGGGTCGGGAATCTCCCGGGCCCTGAGGATTTTGGTGTGCAGCAAGATATCTAGCCATGGTTTTGAGATGCGCGTTCAACGATGCAACATTTGTTTCAGAGCAATGATTATCACTTGGAACCTTATGGGCGAATTTAAGTGAACATCATCCTCATCATAAGTCGAGATCCACACGTTCCTGTCCTTCCTGAAATGGCGATTTTCTCACGTGCCTTTCAGGCAGCAGTGCAGGGATTGGCAACCTTTAACAAGCTTGCGGGCGTTCCTTCGTTCAAAAGTTGGTCACATTTTGGTCGGATAGACTCATGGCCGTACTCAGATTGGCGTGAGACTAAATTGGTGCTGCGAGCAATGATTTTCGTTGACTTGTGTATGGCTGGCTCGGATTGAAGTGAACAGAAGAGCGCGTAATCGGTTCTTCACTAAGCAGGGATGAAGCTTTTACTGTACGGGCAATCAAACCTGTGCGGACGCGGGCACCATCCCCGCAACTCCGCACGGAGCTTCTTCAAGAATTCTCTCTCAGTTGGGGCTCGGAGGCGGAGCGGAGCGGGGGTCGCGGTGAATGCGGCGAGAGCGGCCGCATCCGAGCGGCCGCACCCGAGCTCGTCGTACTCGGGCCGCCGTCATGCTTGCTAAACCTTCACATTGAAGAAGCGTGCTATCAATCCACTCACGATATCTTTCTAATTACTACTTAAATTCCCATGCCCACGCAAAGGTTTTGACACAGTGAATATGGAAAATCAGATTCACATACAATCCTTGACAGTCCAAATCCCATCATCCCTCCACTTTAAGCCACGATGAGCGTCCGTTGCAGTACTCTGAGCCCTCATAAGCCCACTCTCACAGAGGAGTACCTGCCGGATCAGGCGGGGAAGGTAAGATTGCCATCTTGCCACAATGCATCTTGATTTCCACAATGGCTGACATGCTGCTGTCTTGAAGGTCTTCATCATTACCGGCGCTTCTGGTGGAATAGGCAAAGAGCTAGTCAAAATTCTCTACTCCAAAAATGCTAAGATTTGGCTGGCTGCTCGTAGCTATTCCAAAACAAAGACCGTCATCGAGGAGATAAAGGCTGAGCACCTGACTTCCACTGGGGAGATGGTCTTCCTGAAGCTCCAGCTAGACGACTTATCCACAATCAAGGCATCGGCACAGGAGCTTCTTTCTCGAGGGAGCCGACTAGATGTGCTTTGGAACAACGCTGGTGTGATGGTTCCACCTCAGGGCTCTACCACTGTACAAGGACATGAGCTGCAGCTAGGCATCAACAACCTCGGTCATCAACTCTTCACGCAGCTGTTGACTCCCCTCTTGAAGAGGACATCGCAGATAGCGCCGCACGACTCGGTTAGAGTCATATGGGTGTCATCAAGTGCAGCTGATGGTGCGCCGCGCCCAGCCATCGACTTTGCCAACATGGACTACCATAAAGAGGAGGGTATCTGGTCCAAGTACCCCAGAAGCAAAGCTGGGAACGTGATTCAGGCGGCGGAGTATGCGCGTAGGATGAAGGGAAGCGGCATTCTCAGCTTGGTAAGTACCTCAACTGGCACGGGCGAGCACACCACTGAAGATCCACTGTCCATAGTCGTTAAACCCCGGCAACTTTGTTACCAACCTCCAGCAAAATATGCCAAAAATGCAATTGGCCATGTTCGTAAGTCGGGAGTATTCAGACAGGCAACCAGATGGGGGCTTAACATGACCTAGAAACTCATATCGCATCCGCCAAAGAATGGTGCATACACTGAGCTGTTTGCTGGTTTGGATCAGTCCATCACTTCGAAGGACAATGGTACCTGGGGTACGTTAACTCAGTGATCTACAGCTGAATTATTGCTAACTACGGACAACAAAAATAGTTTCACCATTCGGTAAGAAGGAAGAGCCTCGGAAAGACCTCATCGATCCCGAGTTGGGCGCGAAGTATTTGGAATGGTGTGAGTCCCAGGTTAAGTCCTTTTATTGAGCTGTCCCGGCACCGCCTGTCAAACTAAGACGATCGCGGAAAATGCTCGGTCTGAGCAGCCCCTAACTCGCTGGCAAATACGGGACGAAGTCTTGTCAGTTTTATCATGCACAATGTGGACAGTAATGATTGAGTTCAGTTTGATGTATTCCTCCTGTAATCAGTGGGCATTTCAAGAAATGAGTGAAGGTGCAGATGAGACATCCAATTGACTTCGTCCAGACAAACTTGGATGTTCTGGTTGACGACCCCGTTTGAGCGGGCGGGCGATCCGCTGACGGCAGGGTCGGGAAGCGCTAATGGCCCCCAATTTCGCCTATCGTTGGGGGACTAGCTCAAAAAATAGACGGTGAGGCTTTGTGTCACTCTTGAACTTCCTGGCTTCTCCAACGCAATGAAAAGCATGTCCATAACCCACTGTTTGCTGATTGATCCAAGCCAAGTGACACTTCTTCTCTTGTATTTAATGTTTCAAATCGCTTGTCGACGTCTGAGGAAAGACGCATTGGCCAGGAAATCAGTGTTGGGAATGCTGCTTACCTTATCCGAGACCCATGCCCGCTACCGTTGTTCACCACCGAATTATTGACTTGGCGACACGTGATGAGACACTTCCAGATTCATCCTCATCTCAGGGGCCGCAATTCTAGAATACGAGTGTCCGGCCCCAACAAAAACACACGAAGATCACAGCAGACATCTTGTCCTTGACGTGCAATATTCTGGACAGGTTTGACACGACAAAGCTTTAAAGGTCGACAGCGGAAGCAAGCCCCCACAGCAATCACGAAGGAGCGCCAGCGAGAGTCATGGCGGCCCCAATCGCGGCCGTGAGGCGCAAACCCCTGCCGGGCCAGCAGTTTCCCGGCCCGCCGCCGATGCCGCCACCTCCCGATTTCGACCCCTTTCCGCAGCGCCGACCGGTCCTTCGCGGAGCGCGGTCGACGCCGAATTTAAGAGATTCGACGGTGCCGTCGATCTACGATCCCCCGCCTGCCTACGTGGAGTTTCCAGGCGTGGACGCGAGTGGCAGGCTCAACATCGTTCCCCCTAGTCCAGGGAGGCTTCCATCACCAGCGCCGCCGAGCCCGGGACCGTTGTTTCCCGGACCGCCATCTTGTGCTGAGTCGTTCAACGAGCCGAGGTATCGACCTTATCGACCTCCAGCATCTCCGGTCTCTCCGGTCTCTCCTATGTCGACGGGTCCGCCTCCGCCTACAAAGTTAGAAGCATCCTCATCCGCATCTCATTACCAATTGCCACAACCAACCGGCTTTCATCCTCCGGTTAAATCGGGAACATTCGCAGTCCCTTCTAACTACATCCCTCCACCACCGCCACCTTTCCCTCCCCCATCGAATGCAGCAACGTTTCCCGTGGCCGCACACGAGCGCCCTCCACCTTCCCCAGTCTTCCCGGGTCCACCCTCGGCTGAGACGTTCCCCTTGGCAGGGCCTCGACCACCAGTCTCGCCAAGCTATGCCCCCTCCGAAGCACCTTCCGCAGATTCACAGACACAGGAAAAGACATTTTGGCAAACAGCGCTTGACGAGACAAAGTACTTTGCTGGCGGACTAATTAGTCACCCATTCGAGTACACCAAGCACTACGCCATCCTCCGCCATTCCACTGTTCTAGTCTGGTATCGCGGCCCCTCAACTTCAGTCACTGTCACCATCTTCTCAGATGCGCCACTACCTCCTACGCGCACGGTATGGCTGCAACGGAAGGGCTTCTCCGGAAACATGGGCATGAACCTCAAGTCCCTGGTCGGAGCAAACGACTCCTGGCTCGACGTCACGCCATCATCACAAGCTTCGCCCACTGATATGGCAGAAGGTGATGAGAGGGGTTGCCAACGCGACATCAAGAAGTTTCTCAAGAAAGTACCGAAGAACCTTAGCAAGCACATGCCGCGAGAGACCCACGTCATCCGTATTCCCGCAGCAGCCGATGATGGATACTTCCGCCTTGTTCTCTGCACCGGTGGTGGCGATAATGGGAGCAGTAAGAGGAAGGTCCTCTGCCCCAGCCCAGTTTTCCGCATTGCCAGCACATCAACGGACGCGAGTGTTGTACGCGGAGCAAGCTTCGCCAGCATGCCGCTCGAACTCGGTATCAAAGCCGGCTCGATCGTTGCCAACACCGTTGTAAACAGATACGTAGGACCAGCAGCTGCCGTGGTGCAATCGCGTACGAAGAAGCTTCAAACCGCCAAGTTCGTCACAAAACACGCCACTCATATCGCCTACGGAAAGTCCGCCATTGAGAAATCGGGCATCAAGACGACTGTTACGGAGTACGAGGCGCAGTATGCCACCACCAGAGGTGGCGGATACGCCCCTTGGCAAGACGGCGAATCAGGGTTCGATGAGGCACCTCCAGAGGTAATTGGCCCCGACTCTGGACCTATGGACCCGTTTCCTATCAAGTTCGATGGGAGAATCGTGCGCGGCACTGGAAGAGGCGGCATGGAGCTTGGTATCCCGACGGCGAATCTCAGCGGCATACCCGAGGACGTCAAGATGCGCATGCGAGGGGTCTACTTCGGTTGGGCCCGTGTTGTCCCAAGAAGCGGACTAGAGCACATTTCTACCGACTGGCACGAGAGTATCATCACCGTCGGGCCAGCCCCATACGCTACTCCTCGTGTGGCGGCTGAAAATGTCGCGACGGTGCACATCATTCACGAGTTTGGCGGCGCTCTCTTCCTGGAGACTAAGCTGAAAGTCATCGTCATGGGCCAAATGCGGATGGCTACGCCCCCAATTGGCTCAGACGCGGCCCTACAGGCGTACGGGACGGATGTCTTGCTTTCCGTTGCAAGCTTGAGTCGTGAGAACTGGGGTCCTATTGAGACCAGAGAAAGGATGAGGACAATGAGAAGCGAGATGAGCCTAGCTGATCGTTATGTTGAGACCAGAGAGAAGGTCCAAAAGCAGGTCGATCGAATACCACTTCATCTAGCAGGTGTCAGGACCGAGGGTGCCGCGTTGAGAGATAAGGCCTTCGGCAACGGAGGCATATGGATTCCAAGGTAGAACGCTTCCTCGCAGGCATTCGCCGTTGCCAGTGCGCAGACGAAGAACCAAGTTTGAGATCATAAGGCCTCCAGCACACTTATGTTCACACCAAAGAGATATTGTAACTAACTCACAAACCTCTTCACGTCGCTATCCAGTTATTGCCAGGGCTTTGTTTCTGGTTCAACTTTCAACAGCAATTGTATCAGGTGATTTCTGTCCATTGAGGAAGTGGGAGTTATGGAAGGCCTTTCATGGCTCTGGATCTTTACGGCTAGTACAGCCTGCTGGCAACCGAGCCATTCCTTCCGTTTCAGGCTTTTCATACCACGATTTCAACGGCCCGCCCAGTGAGACTATCTCATTGACCTATTAAACAATATACATCTTCAAGGCTCGTCACACTTACAAGTGCGCTCCAGCGAAATAGAAATCAAGCGGTTGTTTCCTTCCCAAAGAACCATACCCATTGCCTTTATAAGAAGGGCAACAATATCTGTCTTCTGATTTCCATCCAGTGTATGCCGTAAAAGCCCCTGGTCGTCAATCAGCTTGTTGACTACGGTGGGACAAGGCCGGAGAATTTCACCCCGAGTGCAACTGCGCTTGTGGAGAAATCGGTGATGCTTTGGAGCTAGAAGGGGTGGTGGACGCCCAAGCGGTGATGGAGGCCGAAGAACTGATGCAGCTTGAAAAGACAGTGGACCCTGAGGACGAGAGTCCACAATGTGAGGAAGGTCCGGCTTAGTATCAAGACTCTCCGGCTCCCTACTATCCACGTCCGATTGAAACTTGTCACCGCAGAAGTTGATCCAGTGGTCGGCCCGACGTATGTTGCAAACCCAGAGATTCCTCTCACCTTCTTGCATTTGACTGAGATACTTCGACTTGAACCACTCCGCAAATTCTTTCCCGTTTTGGAAGGGACGTTGTCCTCTCTCGTCTGCTTCTTTCTTCGCGATGACCAAAGCTCGATCCAATTCCTTCAGCATTATTTCAGTCGTGATCCCTAGGCCATTGATGGCATCAAGCATTCGCATTATGGTCGGCGTGAAAACCATATCATCTGGTCTTTTGTAAAGAATGCTATGTTCCACCTCGGCCCAGGCGTGCATTATGACCGTTCCGATCTGGATCTCTACTCTTAACGAATCGAGACTTTTGTCTGGGGACTCCTTCCACTCCACCACAATTTGCCAGGACTTGTATCCGGAGTGTTCCCAACTCTCACTGAAGCCATCGAGGCCTGGAGAGCGCCAGGCTCCATTTGAGTGTTGCTGAGGGTCCAGGTTTCTGTCATGGGCAATATTCCGCCCACTCCTGACCGTGCCAAAGACATGCTTTATGTCAAAGTGCTTCTGGATTACTTTCACCACTTTGTGAAAGTCATCCGGGAGGTATAGCCCAATGCGAACCCCAGCAAGGTCTCCAAGATCCGGATATGCATAGATGTCGTTGCCCCCAGAAACCCAGCCTCTTAGACCATGTTTAGAGTCTGCTGCCATTTCTCTCAGCTGTCCCTCCAACAGATCGTACTCTTTGGAGCTTTGTTCCATGTGGTTTAGTTTTTCTTCCAGCGACATATACATGTTGAAGTGTTTTTCGATGTCGTCCAGCTTTTTCTTCACCGAGGTATAAGTTTTCGTTCTGCCCTCGACCACTCCTTTGACGGCGACAGCGCTCAGCAATTCTTTGCATTTTTTCTTGGTCAGCTTCTGGAGTATCTGATAGCGTTCTTGCGTTTCAGGTTTCTTGAAATCCACGAGGAGCTCGGAAACCTTCTGGTTGTATGAAGTTGATTTCGTTGGTTCCATGGTGTGCGCCTATTAAGAAGGGTCCGGAGACAAAGATAAGTCCTATGATGATGCTTGTGGTAGCCTGAAAAATGCAGAAGTTTTTCAATATTGGAGTAAAATCTGGACTGGAGATACGATGAAGCGATTGGATAGGGTGAGCGACAAAAACAAGCACTTTTGTTGCTAAAGAGGTAGATAGTGAGGCGGGTGGAGCGGGCAAGACCGGGACTTTTGAGGCGGGAACGCCTTACATTACTAGAGCAGAGATAGAAAACACCGAGTCAATTGGATAGCGATAGCTGCGCTCCTTCCTGCACAAGTGGATTCCTCGAATCAGGTAGGGGACTTAACCGCCAGGATAGTGACTATGGAGAGGCCGTGCTGTGCATCTGCAGCATGTTGGGCGAATCAGCCCACCTGGCAGGCGGGCTTTGGCAGTCATTGGACGGCGGAGTGAGTTGGAAATGCACAATTGTCAGCGGGGAGGTCGGCTGCCAGACTGAGAAGTTGGGACATAAGGTGCATTAGCAAGCAATCAATCTAACTCAACATTTGATCATTCCTAGCTTAGGTGAAGGTCATAGCAGGCGCTTCCACGAGGGAATCTCATCACGTCGCAGCTTCACCAAGTCTCGATGAAGAGAACCCAATACCGGTATCAACCCTTGCGAAAGAATGATACCATCCGATTACTGATATTGGATCCTGGGAAAGGAAGTGATCCGTTGACAGGAAGGCTCACGGAAGAATGTCCAGATTCTGCGGGAAGTTATGACGCACTTTCGTATGTCTGGGCAGATCCAGGCCCATCAAGTAGTGCATACGAGATCCTGATTCGGGATGAGTCCAGCAAGCCAGGATTCCTGAAGCTGAAAGGGGGCGCGATCTTCGCTGCCCTGCGGCAGCTACGTCTTCCGGACCGGTCGCGTCGGATCTGGGCTGACCAGTGTTGTATCAACCAGGATGACACGGTGGAAAGAAGTCAACAGGTTCAATTCATGAACACAATCTATCGCGACGCGGCTCATGTCTTAGTATGGCTAGGGTTAGACACGGAGAAGCAGGCTGCGCCGGCTTTCAGTTTGGTACGCGAACTCGATGAGAGGCTCAAGACCTTCATCGGTGACTCTCCTCATGGTTCCGATACATTTGACCTAGAGAGATCTGTCAGACAGAACTGGAAGGCTCTCAAGGCCTTGACGGGCCGCGCGTGGGTAGGTATCTAAGAACCTATCACCATATATCAACATGACCCGAAAGCAAACTGACCACTTGAAATCGGTAACAGTTCAAACGTGGGTGGATTGTCCAGGAGATAGGAACATGCACACCGGCAACGATGCTCTGGGGTGACACCACGATGGACTGGGAATTACTGGCCAGCGTTTGCGAGAGACTGAAGTGTTACCACCATCTCCGCAGTACACTGAGCATCAATACGTCCGACATTTCATTCCTTTTCCGACGTTTTACGGAGCCAGACGAAAATACTCACCATGCGAATCGATATAACTTCGTGTACGAGCTTCAGCGGGCGCGGCATCTGCGCTTCAGCGACGACAGAGACCGGGTTTTTGCGTTCCTCGGGCACTTTTCCACCCACTCGCTTCATCCTCTAAGCTTGGGGCCGGTGACAATTGCAGCCGATTACACGAAGACTGTTGAGCAGACGTACATCAACTTAGCGGTGCAGATATTACGAGCGAACCCGGATGCGGCATGCATTTTGTTAGCAGCAGTACAACATCCGCGGCGACTTTCTTGGGATGCAAATCTTAAGAAGAGGGCTCCTTCTCGCCACAGTCTCCCATCCTGTCACGAAACGCCAATACAAGCGGAGTTAGCCATGGAAGCATGGCGTTGGGACAAATATACGCTGCCATCTTGGGTTCCCGACTGGAGATGGTCCGAAGGTATAATCCTTGCAGAGCCAATATGTCCGCACCGCGCCCATGGAGATTCGACCACATCGCTTGAGATCGTAGAGCCAAATGGTCTTATGCTTAAAATTCATGGTGTGGAGGTCGATAACGTGGAGGTGTGTTCACAAGCGTTGCTGGCTGAAGACTTTTACAACAAAACGATGCGCAATCAGTCTCCCACTCTGATAGAATGGCTATGGAAAGATATCTGTGGTAAGACACACTTCAGCCTGGACGAAAAATATCTCAACGACCAGACAGCCTTCTTCGCGTTTATGCAGACGCTCAGCAATGGTTGTGTACAGGCTGCAGGACATGAGTGTAGGCCATACCATGAGATCCCGGATCACGTGTGGCTGGAAAACGCAGCCAGGTATGTCGTAGCCACTCTAGGAGCGTCTGGCGAAGTGTCGGAAGAGATTTGGAGACTTGGCACAGGCGCAGAGCTTGAAGGGGACCATGAGAAGTGGAGTCGATGGGGAGCCTCGGCGTCAGAAGGCCGTACTTTTGCAAAGACGGAAATGGGATATTATGTACTCGGCCCGACGGCATTGGAAGTTGGAGATGTCGTTTGTGTTCTATTCGGCAGCAAGGTGCCGTTCTGCCTTAGGCCCATGGGCAGGCGTTACTTGTTTGTGGGTGAATGCTATGCTCACGGCCTGATGAAAGGAGAGGCAATGGCAATGTTAGCTCGGGACGAGCTTCATGAAAAGGTATTTGATATTGTTTAAGTCGTCTTAGTCTAGTTTCAAGCTCCACATTCCATCTGCCCTAGGAGACGCATCTCGCTTGCTACGCAGGTGGAATACCGGCTCACTTCCAGTCTACTAAGTCTAAACATTCAATCATTACGTATCACATTTGACATTTCGAAAGACGACGTGGAATCCCGGATGGTAGTGCCCTTCCGCTGGGGGCTCCTCTAGACCAGGAATTCGTATCATGATACAGCTTGACATAGCTTTTGGGTCGGAACTGAAGACCAAAAGGTATGGCCATTTGTTTGATTTTATTTGATTCATGGCAGCACCTAGATGATATACCTAGGCGCCCGCGACTTGGATGTGCGGCGACTTTCACCAACATGGGCTAGACGCTAAGAGTTTGCTTTTCCGATCTAAAAGAACGACCATGGACATTTCCCCAGCGTATTGGAATTCAACTGTTTACTTGAGCGCCAAGGGCGCATATTGGCGGGGACATTACGCCGCGCATCTGGGTAATTGAGGGCTGGGCGCACAAAACCTCAACAGCCGTCAGGCTTGTTTCCAAATAGACAGTCAATGCCCCATGAGATGTACCTATCGACAGGGTAAATCGCGTGATTGACTGTCTCTTGTATTCCCTACACAACGACCAGTGTCAAATGCATCATTCGTCATCACCAAAGGTCCACAACGGAGTAGTCTTGGCCTTGGAAGGAAGGACTTTGTCGTTCGGCCATCAGCACTAAGCAGTTTCCAGCAACCCTCAAAAGCTGGGCGTATTCGCTCTGGGATTTAAATAAGCTGCTGCATCCTTCGCTGCAGCCACGCGTCGACCGAGTTTCTTGAACTTTCACCCACATTTACAAGCTGTCAGCGAATCAAAATGACTACCCAAATCCCATCCATCTACAAAGCCGTCTTCCTCTACTGGGACCCCCCGTGCGCGCTATGGGGCGCTTTCATGTCCTTCTTCACGCGCGACTGGATGCTTGATCAGTTCTTCCTCGAATCCCACACCGGAACGCGCGATGCAGCCCACGACCTGCTTCTCTACCAGGGCGGCGGGGCCATGGTCGGCTGTGCCATCCTCAACGGCGTGCTCCTACGATACACGAAAGACATCGGGGTTTGGAAGATCGCACAAGCAGCTATTCTAGCGATCGATCTTTCGCTTCTTGCAGGAACCATAGAAGTGTTTGGAAAGCAAGGTCGCCTGTCCCCGTCTACGTGGCAGGCCGGGGACTGGGTAGGGATGATCATCACGATTGGAGTGACGGTTGCGAGGGTTTCATTTCTGGCGGAGCTTGGGTTCAAGAAGCAGAAGACTAAGTAATGGCTGTGCGAATCTGATCGTCCGGCCTGAAGCAGGAAGCTAGGATGGCACATCACAGGCGTGGGGATTGGTGAGGAACGGGGGACCATGGAATCATTAAGAACTTCCAATTCTTGAGAGATATCCATGACTGAGTAGTAATAGCGCAGTTCCGTTCAGCGTCAACATGAAATGAACATCTCAAGCCAAACCCTATTGACTATTCTACAACTTGCTGATAACGTGAATCTCCTTGTCTCCCTTCTCGCTGGGGAATGTCGGTGGCTCCCTATCGACCGGCCCTTGAAGCCACCGAATCATGCGCTGGGTCGCTTTCCGTGGATTCATTCCGTCGGCTGCCATTTGAAATATTGGTTAACACGTAAATCTCCAAGTTATTCATGCGTATAGAATACTCACCGTATCCAATGAAGGGAATCGCACTCCGGTACCCCATCATATCCACAATCTTCTTCGGAATCTCGCCAGAAAGTGCTCTCCTGGGATCAATCCCAATCATCAAGTTCTCAATCGGCCGAATATATGGCTGGCAGTACTGAATCGTCGCCGCATACCTCGGCTTCTGGCTGCGATTCGCCCCACCGGAGTGCCACGTCGTGCCCAAGAAGTAAATAACACTTCCCCTCGGACACACCACGGGAATTGCCTCATGCTCCGCCCCGATCCTATCACTCCCCCAAAGATGCGATCCGGGGATGATCCGCGTGGCGCCGTTGGTCTCGGTGTAGTCATCCAACGCAATCATCGTCGCCGCCGTGACAGGCGGTCTCGGGCGCGGGAGGTGCGTGACACTATCGTCGTGGTGAAGAACTTGGTTCTTCTCGCCCGAGTTGATGACGATCGTTTCCATGATGTAGATGAGGTAATCCTCGTCGAGGAAGTAATCATTCAAAGCCAGAACCTGTGGCAGGAGTACGAACTTGTCGAAGGCGCGGGTCTTGCCTAGGAGGGAGAAGATACGGTTCGTCTTGAATCCGTCAAAGGCGTGCATGCCGCCTTTGGGATCTTTGCCGTGGAGGCGGTCGATTTCGTCGACAGCATCTTTGGCTTCGGCCTCGGTGAATGCGTTTGGGATTAAAACGAAGCCATTTTCGAGGACTGTCTGGACGTAAGCTTTGATAGTTGGATCAGTCGGCAGAGGCTTCTGTTTGCGGATGTAGTAGTCCACTGGCACTGGGTCAGCAGCTTGTGGATCCTTATCGGAGGATGATGAAGGCATGATGGAAGGTTTAGGATAAACGGTGGAGAGCACTTTATTCATGAACAGGGCAACGGAAGGAAGAGGGAAATCCATCTTCTCATCGGTCGGGACGACGCGCGAGAGTTTGTCCTAAATGTGGTAGCCCCTCGGGGGTACACCTCGGAGCAATTTCAAGCCAAGTAATGAGGATAATAGGCTATATGAAGGTTGCCAGGACTGCATGTAATGCACGAATTAGATCGTGGATTATGGTTTACGACTCGCTCATTTGGGCGTCTCCGTAAGCTGATGTGAGACTTTGGTCATGGTGGCTGGGTTAGACCATTTTATCGCGAGTTACTGGACTAGACCAACGGTGATACGTCTTGATATTGAATCTTTTTGCCAGGCTGTATCAGCTTTGTGTCGTTTTGATGTCACATTTTCCTTCCTAAGCACCGCGCGGGTAACTGGCTATTGTCGTTTGAGAGTTTCACGCCCAGCATCAGCAGCTAGGTACTTGTCACGTTTCATGGAAAAGATGTCCACACTTTCTCCCACCTCGGTTTTGGCATCAGTCCGACCGACTTCAAAATTGCTTCAAGATGAACAAAGTAAGGGAGGTGAATGTGACAAAATGTCTGTTGAGTTTCCTGGTCTCAGGCCTTACTAGGGGCCTGGGTACTACTTAAGCTAATCGCTATGTGGTATCTAACAATCATTGAACTACCATGTTCTCTGTGATATGGCAGCCGTGCCATCATCCATGATCCGTCTTGCCCATCTCTCTCCATCTCATCGAATCAAAGGCTGCGCAAAGTTGAGAACTTCCACCATCTTCTCCTTGAAGAGAGCCTCCGCGCGACGCGCAGACTCCTCACGCTTCGTCAACGCAACCACGTAGTCGGTGCGCATCGTGCGCAAAATCCCTCCAACCCTATCCACCAAGATATCCGAAGCGTTGCGGGCTGCCTCTTGGAGTACTTGTTCGGGAACACTGGTAACTGCAAAGAACATGTCTCTCTCGTATACGGCAAGATGGTCCGAGAGCACATTTCTCATGCGCTTCATCATTCCCTTTCCTGTGGATTCTTCATGTCAGCTTTCTGAATTATCGAACCTTGTGAAAATGGATATTACCTTTCTCGTTCATGCAATGGCCATAGCCGGCATTCATGAAGGCTCCAACAACCTGCAAGGGCTCTCGACTGGCCAGCTTCTGAGCGCGGTTGACAGTGTTCTTGACTTCAGCGCTGATACGCTTGAGGCCGTCTTTGTGAAGTTTGAGTTGCATATCCAGTTGCCCACGAAGGCGCAAGTCTTCGCCCGCAGTCTCTCGAAGCTTGCGCATGATGCGGTCGTGAGTTCTTGAGAGAAGCTCTACCGCATCCACAAGAAAGTCATCCAAATGGCCAGGGACATCTCGTTGAAACACGCCAGCCCATTGGTGTAGTATGTTGTTGGAGAACGGCTCAAGAAGTTCTTCGTTGAGATTCCATGGTCCCCAGACACCACGTCGGACCACCAATGCCCTCAAGGTCGAATGATAGATGCCACCTGATCTTTTTGGCAAAAACCAATTGAAGACGATCAAAGCAGCCTCTGCTTCAGCAACTCTGGCTGCCTGATGGGCTGTCTCGAAGAGTCCTTTCAGGTTATGTTGGATATGGTCGAGGCAAACATTTATCGTTGCACTCATGGTCTGAAGAGAAGTCAGTATCACGACCTCCCTACACGCGATACCTAGCTGACTTACCCTCTCAAATGTGTCGAGCAATGAGGACAAGGTGTCGCTACTCAACGCTGCTGCTAAATCTGGGGTGTTCTGTGTCCAAAGAGAGACGGAGTTGAGGACCTGGTAGATACCAGCCAGTACTTCTCTCTGCTTCGCAATTCGTAGCTCATTGGTTACGGTTTGTGCATGACTTTGAAGCTGTGGAATATCCGTGTCTGCGTTATCGAAGAACCCGCGAAATTCATCCATGTCGTCCTCCGAAAGACCTCTCAAGGCCTGGTATGCATGGCTGCTTGTGCAGAAGACGGGAAGATTGCCAGAAATATCATCCTCCAGTTGTGCATTTCTAGTGTCGTTCCTTCTGAGACTGCTCTTTTGGCGAGCCCTGAATACCATTCGTCAGCTCTCTTCATGTCGTGGGACGAGTCGCACTTTTGACCTACTCTCTGACGATGCGGTTGAAGTAGTTTCTTAGGGTGTCACGCGAAATGTCATTTCGCTTCTGAATGCATGCCATGCGGACCATCTCATCAAGGTCATTCAGGTCATTCTCGGCTATCTCCAGTTGCTTTCTGTACTCGTCAATTCGCTCAATTCTGACTCTCTTCGCAGGTTGATGCATGTCGATGTCGTCCTCTGAGTCTTCCGTCAAGCCCGAGCTCATTCGAAGGTTCAGGATCTTCTTTTTCAAAAGCTTGATCTCCTGCCGACGCGTGGCAGCCTTTTCCCGGTATTTGATGATCTCGGGGTCCAGATGCCTCTTCAAATTGTTCATCGCATCGCTGAGGCTGATCTGGTCCGTCTTGGTGCAGATGAAAGTAACCGACGAGAAGGACCCGTCAAGATTGAGCTGGTGCTTGAAATTGTCACTGAGCAAGTCTCTGGCTGTCTTGTTGTCGACTGCTCTATGGATGGGGGCCACAATCCAGATAGCAGCACAGGACTTCATGTATTCTTTGGCCATAGATGCTCTGGCGGCATCTGCATCATGAGTGCCGGGCTGTGATAATTGTAACCATGGGTCAGCTGGAGCTCCGCCTCCGCGGTATGTTGGGGCTTACCAGGTCTGCGATTGTCACTCCGTTGGACAATGCCTCTGCGCGTGTGAAAATTCGGACGGCCTTGACCAGAGGCCAGTAGGCGACGGTTTCGTCATCATTCTCATCTTTTGAGTCGATGTAGCGTTCGACTTGTCGGCGGAGGTCCTTTCCCGTAGCAGCCTTGAATGTCCGAGTGGTTCCAAGGACCCAATAGACATTCGGATGTCTGATTAGCTCATGCGGTGAGCTTTCCAACAGGACTTCGTTGTCAATGTTGGCATAGACAGCTCGGGCTTTGGCAACAGACTTGGCAGCCTCGCTGGCGTCCAAGTCCATCTCATCCTCATCCTCGTCACCATACGGTTGAACGTTGTTGGCAGCAACCTCTTTGAGAAATGTTCGAATCTCACGCATCCAGTCTTCTGGCGAGACAAAGTCGATCTCCGCTCGGTATGGATTCTCGGGGTCGTCATCATCATTATAAGATATCTCGGTGACGCAAGCGGTGCAGGCCCGCATGCAATTGGTGGGGAGCAGACTGGAGGGAGTTAGGACTAGCTGATATCAATGCTTGGGAGGAAGTCTTACCTAGCCTCATCTAGCAGAGCGTTGATGGTTGAACTCTTTCCGTCACCCGTGCCGCCAAACACACCAATGACAATCTTGCTTCTCTGCGCAGCTCGCTGCCGGACCGCACCAATGTCGTTCACCCAGTTCGTAGCAGCAACTCTCATCTCCCTGCTGAGCCTCTGTGAAGATGACATGCTCTTGCAGATTGGCTCCAGCCTATCCAAGATAGGCAAAGCCTTTGCAACGTGTCTTTCCCAGACTTCTGGATTGTTTTCGTACTTGAGCCTGTCTAGAAGTGAGAAAGTCATGTTGACGAGCGGTTGCCGAACATGAGGAACCCTGAGTAGCTCGCCGCCGTGGATAGGCTCGATCTTGATGGGCCAACCGGGAGGCATGGTGAAATTTCGATGGCGAGTTATAGGCTGGGTAGTGTCGTGAAATTGTCTCGGCGCTGGTGATGGACCTTTGCAAAGAAGGAGCGAGGGCGGCGACTGGAATGTTACGGTCGAAGGTAATTTGAAGGATAGCTGCGAATGCTTCAGGCTCTCGTCTAATTCTGATCATAGGTCCCGAAAAATTTCGGAAGCTCGAAAATACTCGAGTGTGAGACTGAGTGAGACAAAATGGCGCGGAAGCGATGAGGGAAGAAGGGAAAGAGGGTGAACAAAAGAGAAGTCGATTGCAAGGCAAGTGGGTCTCGCGGCGGCCAGGCAGCCTTGGAGCTCTGATAAGGAGCTCTGGGAAGGAGCAAGGTGAAAGCTGAAGAAGTGAATGCTTCCTGAAATGGCTTAGACTAATGGCAAAGATGAAGTGCGTGCCTTTTTGGAAATCTGCTCGTGGTAAGAGAAGACTTGAAAAGGATGACGGCAGGAAGGAAGTGCCCCCAGCAGAAGTTGCCGCGCAAATCAGGAAGCTGTGGATAGCACTTGGATCTGGAGAGCTTCAAAAACCTCGTATTTTTATGAGCCTCACCTGAATGTCGCGGTTGTGAAAGTTGAAGTTGTGGTGGTAATACAAACGGAATGGTGGAAAATTAGACTGGTCTGGCGAAGACGGCGCTGAGAAAAGCACCTAGTAGCTCAGCCAAGGAAAGCTCTATGTTGGGGAAGTAGCCACCTGCTGGTGCCTTCGGCGTGTTGGAAACATCCCTCTGTGGGAGCAAGAGCTGGTGTTGCTCCTTCCACCTCCTCTCTCACCGAGACCTGAGGGCAACCACGTCGGTGAGCCACCCGCTGCACACCGAAACACCGACTATGGCCGAAGGAAGCCAGAAAAAGATAGCGCAAACATGGCAAAGATCTTATCAGATCAAAAAGCGGCCCCGTCCATCCCGCTTTAAACCCCGCGGTTCCGCCACGAACGTCACACCAGATCCCTCGCAGCCCACGCGACTCGCTCCTGCCCCTCCCGAGTCATAAAGCCGATAATTTCCCTCAAGAACACATCACCTCACACTTCACACACCAGACTGTCACTCTCATCGATCCCTGCATCTTCTAGATTTTTTTTCCTCCATTCTTATCATATTTTCACAGTATCATTCACTGCATCTTTCACCGCATCACATACAGAAGGAGCAACGGAAAGCGCAACCACCGCCAAGATGGCCTCAGAACCACCACCGCCCGAACTCTTCACAAACGCCCGCGTCTTCCTCCTCAACCCCTCAGCAACACTCACCACGGAGCCCACCTTCGCCGAGGCCATGCTCGTCGCCGACGGGCGCATCGCAGCAGTCGGCGCCGCCGCCGACCTCGCCTCCGCGCACCCCACCGCCCGCGTCACCGACCTCGCCGGCCGCACCGTGCTGCCCGGCTTCATCGACGGCCACATGCACCTGCTCCTCCTCGGCCAGGGCCTCCGCAAGCTGTCACTCGACGCCTGCACCTCCCTCGAGGAGATCCGCGCCGCCATCAAGGCCTTCGCGGCGGCGAACCCGGACGTGCCGCGCATCATGTGCAAGCTGTGGACGCAGCATGTCACGCCGGGTGGTGTGGACAGGCATATGCTGGACGACATTGACCCGAGGCCCATCTTTATTGACACCAAGGACTTGCATTCAACGTGGTGCAACACGGCGGCGGTGAAGGAGCTCGGAATTGAGGACATGAAGGACCCCGTGGGAGGGAAGATCCATCGCGACGCGGAGGGGAAGGCGACGGGCTTGCTGAGCGAGGCAGCGGTGCTTACCCTCGTCTGGCCTCATCTCGCACAGGTCGCGCCTAAGAGGGACAGGATGGACGCCATCAAGGCAGCAGTGGAATCGTACAATGCATCAGGCTACACGGGCCTCATCGAGATGGCCATGGACGAGCCGGCATGGGACGCCGTGTGCTCGCTGCGCGCCGAGGAACCAGACCTACCGATGAGGATTCACGCCTACTGGCTCATCAAGCCCTCGGAAACAGAAGAAGAGCGCTTCAAGCAGGTGGACCGCGCCATCGAGCTCCACACGGAACTCAACAAGACAACCTCGCCCGACCTGCGCATCGTGGGCATCAAAGTCATCACCGACGGCATCATCGACGCCTGCACAGCCTACCTCTCCGAGCCCTACGCCGCCGCCGGCTCCCCCACCCCTTTCTGGAACGCGTCAGACCTCAACCCCGTGGTGGCCCGCGCCGACGCCGCCGGGCTGCAGATCGCACTGCACGCCATCGGCGACGCCGCAATCAAGATGGCCGTCGACGCTCTCGCGACGCACGCAACCCCGGGCCGCCGCCACCGCATCGAGCACATCGAGATGGCCTCGCCGGCGGACGCGCGCCGCCTGGGCGAGCTGGGGCTGACGGCGTCGGTGCAGCCCGTCCACGCGGACCCCGCGATCCTCAAGGCGTGGCCGCGGCTGATTGGCGCGCGCCGCTGCGAGCGCGCGTTCGCGTACCGCGAGTTCGCGGACCACGGGGCGCTGCTCGCACTCGGATCCGACGGGCCCACGGCGCCCTGGGCGCCGCTGCAGAACGCGTACATCGCGGCGACGAGGCGGTCCGCGAGGGAGCCGGGCTACGAGGTGGTGGTGAATGAGCATTTCAAATTGGGCGTGTGCGAGGCCATCACGGCCGGGGCGTATGGGACGGCCAAGAGCGTGTTCGCGGAAGATCGGATTGGGAGCCTGCAGGAGGGCAAGGTCGCTGACTTTGTGGTTGCAGATATGGACTGGTCACCGCAGGGTCTGCTCAAGGGGGAGATCAAGGCGACTTGGTTCGCGGGGAAGAGGGTTTGGGCGGCTCCAGACTTTGCTTGAAGGAAGGGTGTGGTGTGGTGTTTGGCAGGCAGCGGCTATTGGTTAGATGTTTTGATGACGGCGGAGAGGATGTGTTGGTTGGTTTGGCTTGTTCGGCTCCCGCAAGTGTTGGCATATTTGTAAACGAACGTTCGTGTTGAGCCGCGGCTGCATGCTGCTTGGTTTCATCCCATCTCGGTGGTGTTTCCGGGTTCGCGGCAGCAATGGCACTGTCCGCCCCAACAACCTGTCGCTCGACAGCGACAAGGGGGGGCCTCAGCTCTCGCCGATTGCCTCTTTGGGGAAAGGTCGCAGATCTCCCCAAGTCGGGGCAAAGTCGCGCTCGATTCGATGGAGGAGCGAAGAGATGCGAGAGGTTCGCTGCGAGCTCGGGCCGCCTATTCCTGGCATTCTTCGACTGCAATGTCACTGTCAAGGCCGCCCAGGGCCTCTCCGATGAGATTGGATAGAAAGGTGGGATGCCGAAGAATTCCAAAACCAAAACACTGAACAGCATGAGACCCTGGAGTTTCTTCCATGTGGAGTCCTGCAAACCTGTGATATCAGCCAGTGATGCCATGCGCGAACAGACGTGTGCAGTGCATTCCCTCCCGTCCTTCCCTCGCTTTCGCACACCACCACCACACCATCCATCCACATGGGGCAATGACAGAGATGCCGCGGCTGTGTCATGGATGTCGTCTCGTCTGAGGCTCTGCGATGGGTGCAATACAAGAAGGCCTTGATCACCCCCAAGGCGGCCAAGAGTGGAAGCCCCGTCAACCCATCGCAATCTCGCTAGCCTTTTTTTCTTCAACCAGCTGGACCCTTCAAACGCACGGATTCTTCTCTGAATCTCTCGAGTTCATCCTCCGGCAGTGAAAAGATGCACCACCAACTGAGTCTGTCGGCCCTCGCGTGCCTTGCGCCTCTGGTCCTCGCCCTGCCGCAGCCGCAGCAGCCGCCGGCGCCATGTGCACCGGTCCAGATCGTCGTTGCCCGCGGCAGTCTCGAGGCGCAGGGTGCCGGGCTCCTCGGCAACATCGCCAACAAGTCGTCGATGGCGATTCCCGGCTCTATCATCACGCCGTTGGTGTATCCTGCGCAGCTTGACCCGTACCCGCCTTCAGTGTCTGCCGGCGTCGGCAACATGACACAGCTCCTCACTTCGCAAGCCCAGGCATGCCCCAATACCAAGTTTGTGTTGATGGGGTACTCTCAGGTAAGATCTCCTGCGTTAGATGGCGGCAACCGGCGCTGACATGTCCCAGGGAGCGCAAGTTTCGCTTGATACCCTCTGCGGAACGACAGACGGGCCCAACTTCAACGCCACCCAGGCGCAAGCACCGATGCTTGGCAACAAGAGTAAGTCACCTGCCTGAAGATAGCATGTATCTCATGTTGACATGTTGCGCAGTCGCAGCCGTCGTCCTAGTCGGCGACCCAACTAGCATCGCAACGCAACCCTTCCAGAAGGGCACCGCCAAGAAGAACGGCGTGAGTACCCTCCTCCTCCTGGCGGCACATCGCATCGCAGCTGACCGTCCACCAGATCTTCCCCCGCCAAGACTTCGGCGCCTGCCAAGGTCTGACGTCCAAGTTCATCTCCTTTTGCGACGAGACGGACCTGTTCTGCGCGTCGGGCCAGAACCTGACGGTTCACCTGGGCTACTTCCAGAAGCAGGACTACGTTGACCAGGCCGTCAACTTCGTCGCCATGAACAGCAAGTAGACGTGACGTGCGTGTATTATGCCAGAGCTGGATGCTCGGCTGGGAAAGTGAGGTCGTCGTGTGGAGGAGGGCTCATCGTTTCGCGATATCTCGGGAGGTTTTTCGTCTTTTTTGGCAAGAGCATCCGGTCTTGACGATCGATCGACGCGCGCGAGGAGTTTGTGGGCAAAATACACTGGATGTAGCGTTGCGATCTGGGTTTCGTTTTGTGCTCGTCAGACAAAGAGCAGGGCCTTCGAGCCTTGAAATAATTGAAGTATTTTAATGATCAGGAGAATCCGGCAGTTGCTCTCAGGCAGTTGTTCTCTGTGACCCTGTGGTGGAAATTAGCGATTATGTAATAACATATCTAGGGTGTGCGAACGGAAAGTGGCCGTGCGCCACACTAAGGTACACCGAGTTCATTCCCGGTAAGGTCGGTCAACAGCCCGACATGGTTCACTAGAAAGAACATGAATTCCTGGAGGTACATTCGCCTGGAGGTACATTCGCGAGGGCATAGATGTAGCATTTTATCACAGAATATAATATTGAGAGTTTGACGAAGAAGAAGAGAATCCTAGATGTCTGTTGAAAATCCAGAAAGCCCACTAAAAAGGCCCACGCTTCCATATTCGGGCTCCTGTACTAGCTTGTTGCATTTCCTCAAAGTGTATTGGCCGAATACTATTACACTGGTACTACCACTGGACGACCACATGCGTATGTGGCCCTAGAACGGTACGCAAGCTCACGCTCGACTGATTTTTTGAGATTGGTCCGTCGAACGATTATGTCAAGTAACAGACATGACATTTGCAACGGCCTTTGCGAATCGTCGAAACGGCCAATTACTAAAAATCAGGTTGAAGAGGCGGAGACGATTACTGAACATGACGCCCCAAACTGGCCAAATTCGATCAAACTTTGCGCGGGCTTCAGGTTCAATGCTCCCACTTCAAATTGCCACCAGCTGACACGGTATAGCAATGACACGCTCAGCTAATGAGCTATGTACACCTCGATAGTTAAGTTGAAAGTCTGTTGGACTTCGGCCCCACCAGGCAGCCACACACATTCTTTCGGTGACACACCTTCACTGAACACACTCTTCGCTAAGATAGGTACCTACCTATCCAACGATAACCTCCCTTGAAATCGCTGTTGCCCAAATCTACCCCGTCGCTATGGGAGACTTTCAGACAAAGGTCGATGTTGCCAAGACAGCATCACTTGATGACGAGGAAAAAGCCCGTGGCCCCATGACAGCAGAGGCACATCATACTTGCTTCAACCAATGTGCCCTTTCTGATCACAGGCATCCTAATCCGTAGGTAACCACTGATGAAACATTCACAAGAATGGCACTGACCGCTTTAGTAGTCTCCTTTGCATTTTCCAAATGGCGATATTTGCATATCATGTTGTGGATAGCAACAATCCACTTGAAAAAGCATTATGGATCGGCGCTATCTTGGTTTTTGCGTGGGCTTCAGCAATCGGCTATGGTCCACGAGGATTCGACGAAAGCGTCAGATCTAGAAGTCAAGGTGCAGAACATCCACAGGATACGGTGTTCAGTAGTCCTTCCTAAAGAGTCGCAAAGAGTTTGAAAACCAAAAACAGGCAGACAGGTGTGGTCTCAGACTAGTCACTAGCTTGATGGAAAAGGGAATTCGGTACAATCTTAACGGAGTTTGGTCCGCAATCTGTCTCTCTTTTTCAAAATTTGCCTCCCTCCGCGACCACACTTTTGAAAGGGAATAGAGTGCAAAATGCATCCGATGATCATCCGCGCGAAGTCGATCACCATTCAGGTAGACTACTGTCTCATCTGTTTGTCTTCTCTGCAAAGTGCGCGAGGTTTCGCTTTACCTAACGTAGTATAAGGGGACCGAGGTTGAATTTATCATGATGTCATATTCCAGTCTATCCCAATTTATGTTTCCGCTCAAATTCTTCGAGAACACCCGCACATTCTATTTCTCGGGAACAACCAAGATATCATCCACATTTACAACCTGCCCCGTCGCAATAGAGCGGTTCGCGGCAATGCCCGTCAAGATTGACGCGGCACCGTCGACATGGCTGGCGGCCCTCATGTACTCGTCCGAAACAGGTTCTCCAAACAGATCCCTCAGCAACACAAGGTCACCACCACCGTGCGCGCCCTTGGCCTCTCCGAGATCAATCTCCTGGGGCGGGCCGAACAAGGGCCTCAACAACATCGTTCTCTTCTCAATTGCGCCTTCGAGAGCCTGGCTGCCCCCAGAGTTGACGTAGCTCTTCTCGACAACCTCGACCTCCAGACGTCCACCGGTTCCGTTGAAGTTGACACGGAAGCCCTCCCATGGGGCGTACGCCGTTAGTGAGTACGTCATGACAGCGCCGTTGCGGTATCGGATGAGCAGATTCATTGTGTCCTAGAATGACGGTCAGCGTTTGGGTGCTGCAGAGGACCTTGTGATACCAACCTCGATGGAGATGCCGTCTCCAAACACACTCTGGTCACGGTAATACGCATCCTCATGCTCGGCATCCAGATACATCGCCTTCAAGTTCGGATTCTGATCCAGCTGCAACGCAAACGGATCATCCTTCGCCGCCTCGCTCCCATGCGCTCGCGAGTAAAACTTCGTGACGCCCCTACTCTCCGCGTTCTCCCTCCCATAAAATTTCAAATCGCCCTGCGCATACACCGTCTGCGGCCGCGTCTGCAGCCAGAAGTTCACCAAGTCAAAGTGATGCGTCGACTTGTGCACCAACAACCCGCCCGAGTTGCGCTTATCCCGATGCCACCGCCGGAAGTAGTCCGCGCCGTGGTTCTCGTTCAGCATCCACTCGAAATGCACGCTCGTCACCTTGCCAATCTTGCCCGCCTTGAGTATCTCAAAGATCTTGGTGTTGTGCGGCGCGTAGCGGTAGTTGAACGTCACGCGGACCTTGTTCCCCGTGCGCTCGACCGCCGAGAAGATCTCGCGGCACCGCGGCGCGTCGATGGTCATCGGCTTCTCGGTGACGACATTGCAGCCGAGCTCGAGCGCGCGCACGATGTAGATGTTATGCGTGCGGTCGACGGTCGTGACGATCACCTCGTCGGGCTTGGTGTCGGCGATCATCTGGTCAAAGGAGGCGGCGAGGTACGTCGGGACGGCGCCATGGCCGAGTGATTCGAGCTTGCTGTTGGCGAAGTTCATGCGCGTCTGGTTGGTGTCGCAGAGGCCGACGATGGTGGACGTCGCGCTGTAGTCTTGGGCTATGGCTGTGTAGAAGAAGCTGGAGCGGCCGCCGGTGCCGACGATGGCGTAGCGCTTCTTCTTGGTCGTGATGTCGGCCATGTTGGGCGAGTAAGTTTCAACAATTTCGTTGGTGTTTGAAGGAGTTGTGATTCCAACAGAAACAGATCTCAACATAGATGTGCGCAACAGGAAAAGGCCCTGAAGTTATTTGCAAGTCTTGGTAACCCCGCGAGGACGTCACGACTCCGAAGAACGGCACTCAACACCCCACGCAGCACGGCATCCGGCACATCGACACCCTCATCTCGGGTCCATCTCCCCCATCCCCCGAGTTTAGGCAAAATACGACCACGTTTCTTGTCTCCTGCGGCAGTTTGAACACCCGAAGCCTGATCCCCACACACAATGCGGGGGTGGTCCGACTCCTTTTTTCTTATCCTCTGGGGGCGACGCGGGGGTGGATTGCTCTTAAGTGGGTTCTCCTCATTTTAACCAAACCTCGGGCGGGGGAAGTCGGGGTTACGAGAATGCGGAGAGAGTTTGGGGGTGTCTTTCTTTTGATTGCAACGTCAACGTCAGCCCAGCCGGTACCCAGCTGAATGCCACATTGCCCAGCGCGGCCGTTGACAGCCACCCGCTCCCCAAGCCCGTGGATCTCCGGCACTGAGCAGACTGAGCAGGGAATCGCTTCCACGACTTGTGGGAGACCTGCCAATCATCACGCGGTGTTGCAGGGCATGATTCGACACGAGGCGGCCAAAACGTCGCACCCCCTCGTCGCTCGCATTCAGGCTGAAATTCTTCCTCCAATGGGGACTTTTCTCGGCGGCCAGGAGTGCGATGTCTTGGATGTTGGTCAAGCAACGGGACCAAGACCTTGGTATGGGATTAATATCCGGGTGGTTACGTTGACCGTATCCGTCGCGCCAGCACCACGCGATGTAAAAGAGAAACCGAGCGGAAATACGCAACGGCCCAGGTCAGGTGTTCGAGGATATCCATAATTCTGGCCCCAGTCTACCCCGGGCTTTCTCCAGGTTTGCTGCGTGGAATAAGTCGGCTAAGAGGAGCCCGAATATTGGGGTAGAACCTGGGGTTTGTGGGCTGCGTGCGACTTGATAAGATGAACTGTCCCCGGATTTTGGGTAGTTTATGCAACGCTAGGTTTTGGTTGACATCCTATCGGTTCCATCGTCGCAGTGTTGCGTGTCATCTCAGCTGCCATTCCTTTGGCCTTCTCATCGTCTTCTAGAAGGGATTCGACATTACTTGCATCATTTAGGGCCTGCTAGGGCGTGAGTCAGGATGGCTACCAACCCACCAGCCACGAACCAGACTGGCGGCAACGCCGTCGACGCGATTGAGCCCGTCCGCCATGAGCCGGTCCAGGGTGACAGCCTTCAGGAAAAGGCGGCTCAATTCTTGGCAGAACATGGAGGCGGCGATACAGCATTCACGTATGAGGAAGAGAAGGCGGTCTTGAAGCGCATCAACTTCCGCATCCTGCCCCTTCTCCTGGGCGCGTATTTCTTCCAGCAACTTGACAAGAGTTCCCTCAGGTGAGTTCCATCAACACAATCCGCATCTCATCGATTCTTCACAAATATTCATCACTCCTGACACGGAAGACTAACCATCTCGACGTAACAGCTATGTTTCCATCTTCGGCATCACAGAAGACGCCGGCCTCGTCGGCCGCCAGTACTCCTGGCTCGGCTCCATCCTCTACATCGCTCAACTCGTCTGGCAACCCGCCGCCGCCTTCATTCTCGTCAAACTGCCCAACGGAAAAGTCATCGCCGCCGCAATCTTCCTCTGGGGCTCTATGCTCGCCATCATGACCTCGTGCACGAACTTCGGTTCACTCCTCGGTCTTCGATTCATGCTCGGCACGTTCGAAGCCCTCATCGCACCTTCATGTCTGAGTGTCACGACTATGTGGTGGAGACGCAGTGAGCAGACGCTCGTCACAACGTCCTGGAACGCCATGAACGGTGTCACCTTCATCGTGGGTAGCTTGGCGACATATGGACTGGGACACATCAAGAGCGAGACTTTGCACTCTTATCAGATCATCTTCTTGTTAGTTGACTCACATGGCCTGATTGGAGAGATAAGACTGACAACCGTCACAGATTCTGCGGCCTACTAACCGTCTCATACTCCTTCGTCGTCCTCATCCTCATGCCCGACTCGCCCATCTCCGCCAAGTACCTCACCGAGAGAGAAAAGGTCATCGCCGTCGAGCGTCTCCGCGCGAACCAGATGGGCATGCAATCAGGCCACTGGCGCTGGGACCACGTCCTCGAGACCTTCATGGACCTCAAGACCTGGTGCTGGTTCGTGCTCATCATCGCCATCTCCATCGCCAGCGGCGGCATCTCCACCTTTGGCAACCTCATCGTCAAGTCCTTCGGTTACGACAGCTTCACCACGATCTTGTTCAACATCCCCTTCGGCGCCATCCAGATTATTGCCATCATGGGCAGCGGCTGGCTCGCGACTAAGATCAAGCGCAAGGGCGTCGTCATCTCCATGCTCTCCATCCCTCCTGCCATCGGCTCCATCCTGATGCTTACTGTCCCCCGCCATGAGAAGGGCGTGTTGCTGTTTGGATACTACCTCGTATCTATCCTTGCTGCCATCACCCCCATTATCTTCACGTGGCAGGTGCAGAACACCGCTGGTGACACTAAGAAGAAGACGACTTCCGCTGTGGTCTTCATCGGCATGTGCGTAGGCAACATCATCGGACCCTTGCTGTACTCCGTTGATGATGCTCCTCTCTACCGCCCCGGATTGATCTCAAACTTGGTCATGTTCGTTCTTGTCGGCATTATGGGACTGTAAGCTCTCTTCCGCTCCCTACTATTATTACCGTGATTGCTGACTGTAACGTTTCCAGTCTCATCCCCATCTACCTCAAGTTCCTTAACAGCAAGCACGCCAAGCGCCGCGAGGAGCTCGGCAAGAGCGCCCAGATCGTCGACGAGTCCATGTTGCGTAAGGACGAGACGGAAACCAGCAAGGCAGTTGAGGTCGAGGGTGATACTGCCGGCCAGCAGCACAGGACGATTGAGGAGGATAATGCCCTGCGCGACATGACTGATTTGAAGAACGAGGATTTCATCTATGTCTACTAGCTTCGCAAACCCATTCAAAGCAAAGAGCATTGCTACCGTTAAGCGTTCTGCCGTTCATAATACCACATCACATCACGCGATATCCTCTCTTGATGGTCTACCTTTTTTCCCATTGTTATTTCTGTCAGTCTCGCGAGTCGACGTTGTAACCCAACAAAAGCGCTATGACTATGACCAGGGAAAAGGTCGTATAAGCGTCCTATGTACAGCCTGTAGCGATGCCTACGCTGTAAGAGCTGTTGAGTTACGATCTCAGCCTAAGTACTGCCATGCGTACATCTTGCATACGCATCTTCGACGATATCGTGAGGTCCGAGCTGGGTTTGCAGGAAGTCATAGTCCTCAAGGGTCCCTTCATTATTCTGCGGTACTCGGTGACGTTCTCGGTGCGATGGTTGAGCAGAGAAATTTGGACTGGCATCTTGAAGTCGGTCGCTATCCGCCAAGGGGCGGTCTGATGTTGACAAATGTTTCGGTCAGCATTGAGCGACACGTCATCTGACACAAAACTTACCATTATCATCCCCATTCTGGTGTGGTGATGGCCGAAGGCGACACTTTGAAATGCAGGGCCGGACGTGTTCGAACGGCGCATTCGCCGAACGCTCAACACGAGTCTTGTGGGATATCCAGAGGTTTAAGATAGCCACCACTCAACTTAAGACTCCATATGTGATAGTGAACACAACATTAATAATGTCGATCAATGTCCCAGACATGTCTTGGCAAGTTTATGAGTTTAGTGACTCTTGTTCGTGTTGACAATAATAACTAATTATCAAAGCGAGACCATGAGGAATGATTGCCTCCTTCCGCAGAAATTGCGTCGATGTATAAATGGTACGGGAATGTGCAATATATGGACCGTGTAGGCCAAATCTTCCTAGTGCCGTTTCCCTGATGCAGTAATACAAGTCTTACTTCTAAGCCTCTTTCTAGAAGTATGTCACTGACGTCTAAGCCTATTCCTAAAAGTATGTCACTCACCGATGGCCGCCTGCGAGATCGGGGAAATCAAGTTGTACGGGGCCCCGGTACTCTCCGTTGTTGAGGCGCATCAATTGATCCGTCTTCACTGCATTTACTATGACTGGCACTGCAGATGGCTTTAGGTGGCTAGGTTGACCAACTGTTTAATAACAGGAGTACATTCTCCCCCTGTGAGCCAATACCAAGGCACCAACGACTCTGGCGTGTGAAGCCTCCGTTTGAAGCAATCGCCTGATACTAATGTTGGTTGTAGCATAATGACGAATAGAATATCCCAACAGTGTTTCTCATGATATCCTACGCAAGAGGAGGTTTTTAGTTTTAGAAGGAATCTTACCTCGTGGTTCATAAACCCTAGCAGGGCCAAAAATAAGCCTGCGTTTATGCGAGTGCCAGATGTAATGTGAAAGGGTAGGTAAGGTCTCAGCTAAAGAAACCACCATTAACATTAGCCAGTTTCCTGTGAAGTGACCTCTATTAAATTTATCTAAGATCATTAAAGTACCTTCTAGATATTTATTGATACTAGTTCACATTCGATGAGACTTTTAATACTGTTGATATATATTTTTACAATAATGAACCTAGTTCTATTTGCTTACGTTTTCTTTCCGAAATACATTTGATTTTTGCTAGCAATAAATGGTACCATTTCAATTCATTATCTAATAGACCAACCAGCAGCAGAGAGGACTTTACAAAATATGCCACGTCATACGGGCGGCGCACTCCATGATCATAGATTGGATCTATGGCTTCGGAAAAGGTGGCCTGCCGGCTAGCCGACGAGGAACCTCCGGCATATGACAAGAAATAGGTAACTCATTAGCTTAGACAGTGGGGGTCAAGGCTTTGGATATTACCGGAACTCCTCCTCTGTCCAGCAAAACACAGAATATGGCTCTACGTTGTCGGAGACCCTACGGAGCCGAAGCCAGTGGCAGAACGGAACTTTGCAGAGAAGGCTTGGGACGATGCGGAGGCTGTCAAGGTATTCGTCAGTCATTTCGAGGGCTCGGTGATCCTGATCTCTGTGAACTTGATCGAAGTGGCATTAGAGTGTTTTGCTCGGCGCCAAACCAACCAATTCAAACAGGGAAACATAACCTACGCAACCATGGGCCTCTTTCCTAGCCGTCTCCGTCCACAAGCGAACAAGTAAGTCACAGGGCTCCAGGCTTTTGCCAAAGTGTCGCTCGCCAACAACAGTGCCGCCTTTCTCGGTCGCTTGATCTGTCCCTCTCCACCACCCGATGCTCTTTGGTATCACACCCAGTACCAATGGGTAGCAAGATTTGGAGATATTCATCGATTTCTCAAAGTGCAAGTCGTTTCAGGCTCCGACACAGTCATTTTTGATGGCATCTACGGAGCGGCAATCCAATGAGAGCGTATCGATCCAGAGCCGTATGAGGACCGGAATGTGTGCCAACTCCAGAACGCACTCTTTTTTTTTTTCTTTTTTTTTCTGTTGCACGGCTGTGCCGGTTTTAATCATGATCGGGACTTGAGTGTCATCGTTTGACCGTATTGATCGAATGAAACCGCTCGAAGGGCTGCCCAGATTTCCCCCAGATTGGCCACCCATTGATCGATCTGGCTCACTGGTTCCGGTCAAAGCTTTTGCGACCATCGTGTTCTCCACCGTTGGCGTATTTGCTTTGACACTTCCTATGGTTCTCATCAGATTAAAACGGAATATTAGGCCGCCATTCGTCCCTCGCCTCATTGGCGTCGAAGGTTTTGTGGATGTTCGAACTGTTGAGACATACCTCTGGGGCTCCTACCACGGAAATCTTAGAGACGTATCCTTACAGTCTTACTCTGACACTGTCAGTACTCCCTCAGAGCCTCTTCCCGCGCAACAAGTATAGGACGGCTTTTCTTCCACCCTCATTGATACGCACCTCCTGACGGTGACACATCTACAATGCAACACCCCCCCTCTTGCAATGTTTGTATGTGGGCAGGAGCGCGAGATGCACAGGGCCATGCTTTGATCATATGACCCGAAAACACAGACGTATCATCGGTAAGCCAATCTCAGAACAAGCCGTCGCCAACTGGAAGGGATGCGCGTGATGGACCAAGTTAGCGTCTCACTTGCACCACATCCGACTACCCCCGGTGTCGCCGAAAGCCCTCTACCAGACAGTCTACAGCCAGATATTTCGAACACAAGCAATCACGTCAGTCGGCCTCCATTAGAGGATCGACCGGGTCGACGAAACACAGAATTTATGTTTCTCGTGATATGCCTTGTAAGTATCTCCACTCCTCCGATATACGACTTCGGGTGTATTCGCATGTTGGGGATTTACCACATTTCAAGTCCCCGTTATATGGACTTGGGTGGTGTGGCTCGACGAGTCCTGTTGCGAGGTCCAGGTCCTTGCTGTCATCAACTCGGCATTGGCATTCCTCTGTTTTGATCTCCAATTCGCCAATGGGGCTGACCCTCTCCAGTTCAGCGTTAATACCTTCAGACCGTACGACTTCGACCGCCATTTCTACGATCTGTTGAACTACAAGGTCTCATTCGTTATTGGACAAGTCTTGTTGCTCGCTACTTTGTCAAGGTTGCCGCTCAACTTGGTCTTTCCGCACATTTTGGTCGCAAAGGGTGAGTTGGCGTCTCATAATGAGGCCACCATCAGCTAATCTTCCATGGATAGTATTCATACTTATCGCCGAAGCCACCAAGGATGCAACTCTTCTCGGCTGTATTCCCGAAGGCGCGTTAGATAGATGCATATTCTCAGCAGTTCTTATTCCCGGTTTGGCTTGGTACCCAGTGAATGAGCTACCACTGAGACTGCTCCTGGTGGACGTTGCCGTTCCTAAAGTGGAGGTTCTCTGGGGGTTTATGGCTCCCAAAGCTCTGCCATTTCGCCTTTTCGTCGCCACATTTCACTTCAGGTCATCTTCTTAGTGACCACATGATGATTGGCATGTCACAGACCATTGGCCAACCTGGTGAAGTTTCTTGGCTGATTGCGTGCCAAACTATTGGGCAACGCCATAGCGCTTTTTTACACAAGTTCTTCGACGATACGACGAGGTTGAATTTGAGTCGGAGACAGGTAAGTTGTGCTCTACATTCCAGTTCAAGAGCTAATTTCCATGCAGCCGCTTGCACGCTCTGTTGCTAGGATATTCCTCGTCTTTGCTGTATCCTTTCTGACCTCGGTTCTATTGGAGTCAAGAGACAATGATGGTCGCGAATATCCCAGCCTCGGCGTTATGTACATAGTAATTGTTGTGTTGGTGGAACTAGTCACGTATTGCAAGACCCCAGCTTCCTGTGAGTGAACGCATTATACTCGGCGACTGGGACTTGTGACACTGCCAGACGCAGTCATGGTAGCGAGCTGTCTTGTCCCGGCTTCGTGATACTTTCCCGGGATGTCAGCAACTATTGGAGGAACGCAATCCTTCTTCTGCGATTTCTAGTAAATCTCCACCTGATTGTTCTCCCATGTAAGTACCTTCCTCTTCCAAGTTGGTCTCGAACTTTTGCACAATAAAAGTACTCTGGTCAACAATTCTGCAAGCGCTCAAAGCTGGACAGAGGCAGCCGCCGCCATTTCACTGTCCTGCGTTGGTAATGCCGTGGGTCAGATTTTGGTCCAGTATATCACCAAATTATACGAAATGGCTTATCGATGGGGGTTCTATCTTTCTTTATTGGTAGTACAGAGTGTTATCTTGGCCATCATTTAGGCCGATGGGTACTTGTGTAGACGTGGGATAAGGCTCATTGGACCGCCTTCAGCTGAAGACGCCGAGGCACAGCCGTTCTTTACAAAACTTCATTCCGAATATTCAGGAAGACCAGACGAGGCATCAACCTGACTTGATATTGACTGAACTAATGTCGAAGTGGTTTACTCCAATTGCCTCATTAGTTCTTACCACGTGCTCGTTCGCTGCCCATGCCCAGTCTATATTTTACAGAGACTCCCCGACTGAGTCAATTTAGTTCGTCTAAAGAGCCACACCGCCATCATCCGGATCGCATCCGCCTCCGCCATGCTGTTCAACCTCCGCTGTTCAGCCACTAATAGGGGCTCATTCAACATGACTACGGAAAGGCTGGGGGACTCAGAATGCCAGTGCGGTATCAGTGGACAAGGGTCAGATCACTTACTTGGGGGTATGTACACACTTCAAGCCCCATCGCATATTTTCTGAGGAGGCAAGGAGGTATGCATAGTGGTAGTATATTGTGTGGTGACTTAGGGTGTGGCCATCGAAAAGTGCCACTTTTTATCCCGAAACGTACCTGGCCTGCCCCGAGCCTCCCTTTTCCTTGGGGGGGGGGGGGGGGGCGNTTGGGGGGGGGGGGGGGGGGGGGCCGACTTTCAGAGTTCAATTGAATCTCCACCAAGCCCACAGTCATGGATGCCCTGGTTTCTCTTACGTTTGACTGTGGGACCTCGCAGTACGAGATGTTTTTTGTAAGCTTTTCCTGCTTTCTCGACTCTCTTGAGTTGATATCTACGTATCTCAACGCTAATGCTGTCAGCTTCCTTCCGGTGTGGCCCATGATGGCGATGAGCCTCGCTTGCTGTTCGAAAGAACACCGATGTCTCGGGCTGATGCCTGTTTTTGTCAAACTGTGAACCTTCTTCCCCCCCTGGTTTTGGCCAATAACTCGCCGGAATTTCAACTTCCGCATCCTACGCACGCGGGTGATGGGGTTTGCCAGCTTCCGTGCTGATCCGGAAGTGAAGCCATCGTTAGTCCCGGTTCCGCGTCGGCGAGGATTCATGAGTCGTGAGCCGGTCTTCCTTGGAAGGGATCTTTTGCAGCATGCACCGGTCTGCACTACATACTGAGTCCATCTCAGGTATTTCAAGACTAGCTCGGTGCGACTGCTGGTTGACTTGTTGGGACTCGATCACTCACCAGTCATACTCGTACTCATTTTCTTAGCATCCCTCAGGGTCACAGTTCCAGTCAGGATGCATCCCACCGGCCTGCAAATTCTCGCTACGGCGTTGACTGCTGTCGGTGTAAATGGCCACACTCTTTGGTCCCGGCAGGACGCCGACTACCAAGCCCTTGTCGCATCGCTTTCGAGCACCGCCAAGGTGTTCTATACGGGATCCGACGACTTCAACAATGTCACGACGCGGTGGTCAAATTTGGACATGCCGACGGTGAACGTGGCCGTGAGGCCTACCACTGAAAACGATGTCGTCGAGACGGTAAGAAGAATTGCCCCATTTTTCATACTTCCTGTCTATCTTTCTTCAGTAGATTCATGGCTAATGATGGAATCGCGCTTTTTGGCCAACAGATCAAGTTTGCCAACAAGAAAGGCCTCCCCTTCCTAGCCACAAACAGTGCCCATGGCGCCATCACCACACTGGGCAAGATGAAGAGCGGCATCCTGTTAGATCTCGATGAGCTCACTGGTGTGGAAATTGCCGCAGATGGCCAGACGGTGACAGTGGCCGGCGGAACCAAATCGCATGTTCTCTCTCACGCGCTCTGGGATGCTGGCAAGCAGGCAGGTAAGTGTCCCTCCTCCTACACCTATCTAGATCCCGTGTGTACCTCTGATGATGCTAACATATGGCGGTTTGAAGTCACGGGTGCATGCGAATGTGTCTCGTATCTCGGGCCCGGCCTCGGTGGTGGCCACGGATTCCTTCAGGGCCGCCACGGGCTGATTGGCGACCAGTTCCGTTCCATGAACGTTGTGCTCGCCAACGGCACACTCGTAACGATCAACGAGACCGCGACCCCGGACCTGTGGTGGGCCATGAACGGCGCGGGCCACAACTTTGGAATTGTCACCAGCGTCACATCCCAGATCTACGATGTCGAACATCAAGACTGGGCGCTGGAGCTGATGAACTTCAGCGGCGACTTGGTGGAGGAATTGTACGAGGTGACGAACAACGAGATATTGAAGAACGGGACGCAGCCGGTGGATTTGATCAACTGGAGTTATTGGATGATGAGCCCAGATCTTGATGCTCAGAAGGTCAGTTCAGCCCTCTCGTATTCCTCGGCACCCTGCCAACCCCCTACCAAGCCCCAAAGTGTACCAAGGTTATATCTAACTTGCTCTTTCAGCCCATCGTTCAAATCCTCCTCATGCAAGAAGGCGTCACCACCGTCGACCCAGCCTACACCGCCCCATTCCACGCCCTCGGGCCCCTCTCCAACTCGTCGGAATCTGGCGTATACACCGACCTCGCCAAGTTCGTCGGCGTCAGGACCACCGACGGCCCGTGTCAGAAGACCGGCGCCAATAACCCGCGCTTCCCCATCTACCTCGAGACCTACAACACCACCGCCCAGAAGCTCGCCTTTGATTTCTTCGCCAACAGCATTGTGGCCAACTCGGCGCTTAGTAACTCATTGGTCACCTTTGATGACTATTCTACGCAAGGGGTCAAGGCGAAGGCAGATGATTCAAGTGCGTATGGGCACCGCTCTCAGAACGTGTTGGTCGGGCCCTTGTTGCAGTACATGCCCGGGGACGCGGCGCTGGACGAGGAGGTTGCGAGGCTAGGGAACGAGTTCCGCCAGATTCTGCACGAAGGCACAGGACGTGATTTTGTTCCCGCGTATCTGAATTATGCGTTTGGAAATGAGGGGCCCGAGCAGTGGTATGGGCATGAGGAGTGGCGGATGACTCGCCTGCGGGAAGTGAAGGCGGCGTATGATCCCAATGGCTTATTTAGCTTTTATGGACCTATTGCTTAGGTGAGTTGAGGCGGGGATAATGTTAGGCTATTCATAGAGCTTTGGTGGTGTGTTTGGATTCTTTTCGCCTGGCAGGGCGAGTACACTACTTATTTTGGCTCGGAGGGTTTGGTTTAATTCAATGTCGCGACTATGAGTTTGCTCGAAACAGCACGCGCTTTGCCTCGGAAAAAGTACGAGGATAATCTCGCAGATATGAGTCTACTCGAAGACTGCTGACTTGAGAGTAATCAGCAAAGTGACTGACTATCTGAACATCATGGGGGACATCAGCGCCGTCAGGCAGAACCCGGCAGCTTGAGTCCCGTAAAGTCCTCCAAAGCCTTCACCACCGCCTCCTGCAAGCCTACGTCTTCGGTAGCAGGCAACGGCTCGCCCTTCTGCTTCTTTGGATCAAAGTACCGACCCGTCTCCCCACTCACATCGTAATCGCCCTCGGCCAGCATGACATACGTCTCCAGCCCGTCTTCCATCTTGTCAGGCGCCTCGAACTTTGTGAGCTTGGTGGGCACGTAGCCCGGGTGCATCGCCACCACCGACGTGCCCTTGCCCTGCAACCTCTTCGCGGCCGCATTCACGAGGCACATGACGTGGAACTTGGAGTTGCAGTAAGCCTCGAAGTCGTTCCACTCCTTCTCGCCCCTCTTGAGCCAGAAGATGTCCTCGACGTCCGGCTTGGCCTCGCGATGCAGCACCGACGCGACGAAGACGATCCGTTTCGGCGGCGTCAACAGGCAGGTGAAGATGTAGGGCGACACCATGTTGACAAAGACCTGGGCGGGCACGCCCGACTCGGTCTTGCGGAAGGGCCCGTACAGCAAGCCGGCGTTGAGGACGACAGCGTCGAACTGGCCGACTGCGTTGGCCTGCTCGGCGAGCGAGCGAGTCTCGGCCGTGCTGGTGAGGTCGGCGACAAAGACACCCGCAGCGCCCGGAACGAGCTTCTTGGCCTCTTCGGCGCGGGCCGCGTTGCGTGCGTGCAGATAGACGGTGTGCTTGCGCTCGACGAGCTGACGGGCGGCGCCCAGGCCGAAGCCGTCGGTTGATCCGGTGATGAGGATGCGGCCCATCTTTCACTGGGGAGACTGGCGAAGGTTTGCAGGGGTGGGATTGATGCTGTGTTGGGATGGTGTGATTTTGACGACCAGGAGCTTAAGAGAAATGAGGGAGGGTTTTGTAGGGACGGATGGCGAGTGGATGCAGCGGGTGAGATGTGTGAGGTCCTCACGAGTCACGACATCAAGAAGTGGAATCGCGGCGGAAGCAAGAAAAATCCTTGATGGTAAAGTGGATCTGTTCTGTAGCAACGGTTACAAGAGGCATTTTGCATATTACCGGCTTGGATCGGAGTAAGAAGCGAGAGCTGAGTTTTGGTGGAGCATCTGCACGCTACCTACCTGTCAGGCGGCACAGCCTCATGTTCAAGTCTGCGTGGATATTATCATATTATGCAGGCAAGGGTGGCTTGGCTTCTTGTTTTTTTTCCTTTTTAGGTTCTTCATAGCCTTGCTATGCCAGCTTCGCAGGCAACGTGAAGTGAGGGGTTTCCAGTGGGGCACCTGAGGGAACCGGCGGGGTTAGGCTGACAGCCCCGGTTCCCCGGGACCCCGGGACCCCGGAGCCCCACTGAGCCCCGCCGAGCCCCGTTGAACTCCAAATGGCCCGGGGAGAACCCCGGCGTCGCATTCGGGCACCGGCGCTTGATGCCCGCGCCCACGCCGCTTAGCTGATAATTCAGCGCCAACAGCTGGATACACGTGGGCTCCTACAACCAGCCGCACATCGCCTGTAGCGGAGATTTCGCACACCCACTTAAAGTACTTCCGAAAGCGACAAAGCAAGTACTTCGCACTGCTATTCGCGCCGAGCTCGGGATCCCTGATATGTGCCCCAGGGCCCCCACGGAATTGCGCACGACTCAGTACGTTTAAAATGCTTTCCCCAGCTCCACGGCACGGCCCATCGTTCGGCTGCACCCTTTCATCCGCACTTATGCTAACCGAGGTTTGGCATATCTGGTCAGCCCTGCCTGCACCCCTGAGTCGGATCTACGCGCAAAGTACTCAGTACTTGTTCCGCATGAATCGTGGGTGGGTATCCCGAGTAATGGGACTGCAGTGGGCAGTGCAGTTTCGGCGGATCCTTTGCGTGCAAGTCCCTCGTTTGGCAACACACTCATGGGCAAAAGCCGGGAAACAGTTGTCTGGAAAGACATCTCCTGCGTTGCAGAGCTGTTCAGTGAGCGTGTGACTGTGTCGGGCAGGTCTCTGTCAAGGTGATACGAAAAGTCTCCGTTTTACGAGGTGCAACTTCTGATCAGGCTGCCTTCATAAATGTCTCGGATAATTGCGGGAGGCATTTGACGCGCACAGGTTCTCATGTGCCTCGTCGTTTTTAAGAGTCTCGCAGTCAAATAAGTCAAACGAACAAGATCTCTCAGTCTTAGAGTTCATACGCTTAGTTATCATCGTCAAGGCCAACTTTCATCATGTCCCACCACGGCATCTTTCGCTACCTGCCTCCCAACGCAAGGCCCGCCTCGGCCAAAGAAGCCTACCTCCTGCCCTCTCTCTCCGAGTTCAGCTCCATCGTCACCCTTCCACTCACAGACCTCAAGCCTACGCTCGACCTGGGCGATGCCTCGCCTTATAAGCTCTCGGTGCATGGGTTCACCTCCCGTCGGCACCATTCGGCTTTGCACGCTGAGCCATTCGGCCATGCGAGCTGGAAAGATGAAAAGGCACTCAGGGACGTCTATTTTCCCGAGGTCGAGGAGTTTGTGAAGAAGTTGACGGGCTGCAAGACAGCGGTAGTGAGTGCGGCGGTTGTGCGGACGCAGCCTTACAGTGAGGGCACCGGCGACTCCAGCTCTTCAGCAGAAGACGGCGGGAAAGGAGAAGGGAAACGGGATGGGGAGGTGGGAGAAGAGGGCAGCAGCGGTACTACTCCCAAGTTCCCTCCCATCGTCGGCCTGGCCAAGTCCGACGCCGTCTCCCCCGCCCCCAAAGTCCACCTCGACCTCACGCCCAAGGGTGCAAGACTGCACATTCGCAAGTACGCCCACCAGGTCACTTCGGCAGCGGAGCACGTCATCACGGCGGAAAACGCTCTACTTTCCTCCGGGGTCCGGTTGGAAGATCTCAAGGACCACTACCACGAGGCCGGGGTCCCGCGCTTTGCGCTGTTTTCCATCTGGCGCCCGATCAAGACGGTCAAGCGGGATCCGCTGGCCCTCGCACCAGCCAACAAGTTTCCAGAGGAGGATTACGTGATTTCTGCCCAACTGGAGCCGCTTGACTGGACCATCCCAGCTCACCTGTCACGCCTCCCTGGGACCCAAAGTTCCAACTCTGCCTCCGCCTCTACGCTCGCTCCTTCTTCATCCGAGGAGACCACGTATGATACCGAGGGGTATTTGGCCTACGCACCAAAGAATGAACAGGAGGGTGGAGCGCATGACTGGCATTTCATTGCAGACCAGGAACCTAGTGAGGTCCTGGTGATCCAGTTGTTTGACAATGAGATGGAGGCAAATGCGAGGGCACCACGCAAGGATGGAGGGAAGGGAGGATTGGGCGTCGGCGGGACGGTGCATAGTGCGTTTGAACTTGTGGGACAGGATGACACGGAGGAGGCCCGTGAGAGCATCGAAGTGAGGGTTGCGGCGTTCTGGTGAGGCGGGAGTCGGGACATAGATGATATTGGAACGGCCTACCTACCTTGGCAGGTACATAACTTGGCAGCAAATTGTAAATCGGTTTCCTGCGGAGTAGTCATTGTTGTTGTATTGTTTAACGCTGGGTCGTCCTCAATACCTAGGAGCAAAGGGCGCCCGCAGCAACGGGTTTCCCGTGTAAGAACGAGTGACAAGTGAACGTGAGGATGCAAATTATCACCACTGGCCGAATCTTTCTACGGATACCGATTATGGATCTATGCAACTCTCCTTCTACTGCCCTGGCACCGCCTTCTTTACCCCAAACCTTTTCCCCAACACCACAAATTGGGCCACTGTAATGGCTCTCCTCAAAGACAACGCATCCTGATCCTCAAACGCCCTCTTCACCGCCTCCTCGGCCGCCTGCCAGTCCACAAAGCCTAGCTCCTGGACGTTCTCCTGCGTCACCAGCTCGGTGACCTTTTGCCACAACGGGCCCCCGACCCAAAACTTCCTGGGCCCCATATACGCCTTCTTACTCATGTTATAAATCTCATCGGTCACAAACGGCTTCACCGCCTCACGCAGAATATGCTTCTCCCGCCAGGACTTGGTGCCGTGGTGATATTGGATCTTGAGCGCCGGCGGGATGTTGTTGACGTACTCGGTGAGATGGTGGTCCAGGAACGGACAACGCGACTCGACCTGGTGTCTCATGTCGACGTTGTCTCCGTTGTATCGCAGGATAAAGTGCGGCATGAAGGTCTTCACAAACATGTACTCCGCCGCGTGGAATGGATGCCACCGCTTCCGAATGTTCTCGCGCACGCGGCCGTCGAAGCCCCCAACAAGGGCCGTCTCGGGCGCCGTGTCCCCGTGGGCGTGTCTGGTCCACTCTGCGAAGGGAAGAGAGCCCACGCGCGCGATGGAGGGAACGACGTACCCGTGGTTCATCATCCTCTCGGAGGAAGCGGGGATCTCTGGCGTGAAATCCCCAAAGATCCCGCGCTTGCTGGCGGCCACGGCCGTCTGTAGCGCCTCGTCACGGTCACTCGCAGAAAGTTGCTCTTCCTGCGCCGCCCATGAATGGTCGGCCTCGCTCAGCCAGTCGGCGCGAAAGGCGTCGTAGCCCCCAAAGTGCTCGTCCGAGCCCTCCCCGGTGATGACGACTTTGATCCCCTGCTTGTGAACGGCCTCGGCGAGCGCGTACCGTCCCATCCCGTTGAGATCCGGCAGCGGGATCTCGGCGTTCCACACCGTGTCCTCGAAGCGCGCGACAAGGGCCTCTTCGTCCATTTTCACCATGTGAATGTCCACGCCCAGCCATGCAGCCGTGCGGTGCGCCACGGCCGACTCGTCTGCGCCGGTACCCTCGTCGAACTGCACGGTGAAGCACTTCATCTTGGATGGCACGGTCGACGATTCGGAGCCGAGGTGGTGGCCTTGCTTCATGAGGTGGGCCACCATGCCGGCCACCGAAGACGAGTCGATGCCGCCTGACAGGTAGACGGCCACCGGCACGTCGGCTTTGAGACGGATTCTGGTGGCCTCTAGGAGACGTGTGCGGACGTTCTCCGTGAGTTCAGTGGCGGAACGAGAATCAGGGATTGACTGCGAGGTGGGCTTTAGAATTGATGTCCATAAGACAGATGCAGAAGAGACTTACCTTGTCCGGATACTCGACGTCCCAATAAGACACCTGATACTCTTGCTCACCAGGCCTTGCGACTAGGTAATTTCCCGGGAGAACCTACAGCACATCACGTCTCATCAGCACTTCGTCATTTCTCCCCACGCCTCATCCACAGAGCACCTAAAGGTCCAAAGAAAGAAGATATACACACCCTGTAGATCCCTTTGAAGTAAGTCTCGCTTCCCACCCGCCAACTCTGTTCCCGCAACTCCCTCACGCCCCACTCCATTTTCTTTCCAAACTTCAGAAAGCTTTTCATCTCGGTGGCCACCAGCAACTTTCCATCGTGCCATGTATAGTACAAGCTCTTGATGCCATACCGATCCCGTCCGGCAATCAGCCTCTTTTTGTTCACGTCCCACAGCACGAACGCAAACTCGCCGCGGAGGTGCTCCAGAAACGAGAGGCCATAGTGTTTGTATAAGGCGATGACAATTTCACAGTCAGAGGTCCCGACGAAATTGAACTCGGGTGAGAGGAGATTCCGGTAGTACTCGTGGTTGTAGAGCTCGCCGTTGACGACGGCGGAGATGGTGGGCGCGGCGGGAGGATGAGAGTCGTGGAAGGGCTGGTTGCCGGTGGGAGAGAGGTCTAGAATGGACAGGCGGACGTGACCGAGGCCTTTTGGAAAAGGTGATGTCAGGAAAAACGGCTGTCGATTGGACGCTTCACGAGGGAAGGGTAATACTGACCGACCTGGTGGTTCTCACTGTACCATGTTCCTCTGGCGTCAGGACCGCGATGGGCGATGATGTCAAGGCTGCTCTCGAGCTCGTCGACGACTTGTTTGGTCTCCTCGGGGCTACGGTGGGAGGAGCCGTGGCTCATGAAGGCGCTGATTCCGCACATGTTTGCTTGGTTGTAATGGCATCAACAAAGCTGACCATGGAAAAGTCGACGTTGTGGCCTCGCTATTCACGCCTCTGGCAGCTAGTCAACATCGAATCTATTAGAGGAAATTATTATAAATCTCACGAGTCATCTATCTATCGATTACACGGGCACCCAGATTCAGACAAGCTACCATGAGTCGACAGCAGATGCCGTAAGACTCTCGCTCGCTCTCTAAAAGTACTTTGGCAGTGTCCACAAGTTCACAATCAAGGTCTTCATGGAGATGGAGGCACTAATGCTGCTTTGGCCGTAAGCACAGCATGAGATTTCCACCTGCACCCACTGCAAGGTGTCAGGGTCCTTGCTCTTCCACCAGTGGCGCACTGGAAGCAAGCTGGCCGAGCGATCACGGAAGCCTCCATCTTCGGAGGAGAGTGTTTTGCGGACGAACCCCCGTCTCCCAATTGCTACAAGGGTCGCCAGTAGAATGTACTCTGTACAAAGCAGGGTTCATCTGCAACAGATTTATGGACTTTTCGCTACCTTGTCAAAGTATGACAAGTCGTGATGGCATGGGGGGCAGCGGGGGCCCCTGAAGCGTGTGTTATGGGTCCAGGAGCTTATGCCATCTCCTGGACCTACGGAAAGACCATCGGATATCGGATATCGGATATTGCACATCTTGATCCATCACAAACTCCCATTATGGGCCTAGTGGGTCACGTTTGACTGCATCCTGAACCCACTGCTAAAGCTTCATATAGTACAAAGCGTTGCCAGACCTTTAGTAATACGAAGGCGAAGTGTGACTGCTCCGCAAAAAGTCGGCCCCACTTGTGATGCATCTGATCGTTGCGGTCCAGAGGATGGGTCCAGGCGACTTGACAGCCCGATCCGCCTTCGAGCCGGTCCGGGCAAAGCCCGGGGCCCCGAGCAGGACTTCCGGACGCCTGGATCGTCACATTACCTGACTCGTATACTGTTGTGGAATAAATATTTTGACGCACTATGCCGGTCAAACTGCGGCGTACTTTGTAGTGCTTACTTGGAATAAGAAGATGTGGGTTTGTTGAGACTGGCCTGTACGAAATCCCTCACCTTACAACGCATACCTCGGTTCTAGCCCGGCCACCAGGGCTCTGTATCATTGCGTACACCTCCGAAGGACGAAGAGTGCCACGATCACACAGATTTTCTGAAATCAAACTCCCTGTTGAAGATGATTCGTGTATTCAGCGGCGCGTAATTCAACGATATGGCTGGTTCGTGTTACACCACCGTAGTCCAACACCTCTTCGGACGGTGGCCGGAAGCACAATCCGACGGTCTGGATTTTGGGTTTGTTCGTGCATTTGGGATTCTTCAACGCGCATCGGCACGACTTGTGGGCACTGATCGGCAGATCAAAGGGACAATACCAAGATTTTTCCAGTCTGTTTACAGGACCTACGCAACATGACAGGTCTGAGGAGAAGCGCTCTTACCCAGCGCCAAGCGTGATTTGTATGCCTCGGATAATACGTTACGAATCGAGCTTTGCCAGGATTTTATACCATGTATTATGTACCCACAAAGTCTGATTCGCAGCTCCTGAAGACAGGGGAACAGCTGAGATGCACCAGCAAGGCCGCAAAGAAAGGAAAAAAGAGCCGAGCCACCCGAGTCACATTTACTACCACGGCGGTTAATTCAGACTTCAGACGCTCGCGGGATTCATCCCGACTAACTGCTTTCATCAGGGAAGGCGAAGATTTGATGGCAGCTGTCCCGGGGCCCGAGCCGGTCTGGTCAGTAGTCTTTCACTCCGCTCACTCTGGAGATACTATTAGACACTTAGCACTCATCGGCAACCACGTCTATCCCTGACTACCACCGACTTTCCCATCCGAACCTTACGAAACGTCACAAGGACCATCCCACCAACACCAACGCACTCTTCCCCTGCGCAGAGTCAAGAGGGCCCTTGCAAAGAACCAATGGCCACCGTCACCGCTACGGTGCCAGACCTCTCTGGCGACGACCTCACCTCCTGGCTTCAAGCAGAGCACAAAACCCAGCTAGACCTCTTGCGAGCGGCATGGGGGATCACGCTGGTAAGCTATACAGGGTCTGAAGATGTGGGGTTTCGTTCATACAGTCAGAGTGGTGGGGTTAGGTATGTGATCCCCCTTCTCCAGCTTCGTGAGTGAGTTCAGGAGGCTGATAGAATGAATCAAGTTGGTGGCACTCTCATGTCTCGGCGGCGCAACCCGTGCGCTCGCTTTGTGAAATCCAGCCGTGCGAGAATGCCCCAGAGGAGAGGAAAACTGTACTTTGTGGGCAAAATACGGTTGTTTTCGAGGGTGAGGGAGAAGGTGTTCAGGACATTGTGAAGGTAAATTTTCGTCTCCCTCTCCCAGCTTCGTCAAGGTCAATCGGCATCATGGGAAGCCAAGAATAAGGCTGACAACTGTAAAGCAATTCGATCTTGCCGTGTCTTTTCACGAAGACACAATCAGCATCAGTCTTCAGCACAATCCTGCCGTTATGACACCCGAGCAGACCCGCATGATAGCGGCAACAGCGGCTCGAGCAGTTGCACAGATTGTGCGCCACACCAATTCTATTATCTCAGACCTGGACATCGTCAGTGAGACCGACATTGCTCGTATCTTGCAATGGAACTCCATTCCATACAAGGAGACTGGGCGTGCGAAATGCATCCACCAGGTCATCTCGATCACAGCCAGCTCCCAGCCCTCCACCACCGCCGTTTCCTCCTGGGATGGCGACCTCACCTACGGCGAACTCGAACGCCTCTCTTCTGCACTGGCTGTGTCCTTAAGGCACTTGGGCGTTCGGAGAGAGGTATTTGTGCCGCTTATATTCGACAAGTCCAAGTGGGCGATCGTGGCGATGCTTGGGGTGCTCAAAGCAGGCGGTGCATACTTCTTCTTGAACCCTACACATCCAGTAGAGTATAACAGGACGCTGTGTAAGCCATTTGATATCAAGCTCGCCGTCTGCTCGCCGAAACACCACACACTGGCGCAGAGCTTTGCTCCCAGGCTCGTGGAGCTGGGAAAGGAGTCCGGTAAGGACCTCAAGATTTCATCACCAGAGGACGAAAGCCTCCACAAAGAAGAGAGCCAAGAAACCCCAAGCCCTTCCCAAGCAATGTACGCAACCTTCACCTCAGGTACGACTGGCACCCCGAAAACCATCACCACCTCTCATGACGCCTTTTACCACATGGCCATCGCCACCGCCTCCCCTTGTGCCTTGCACATCTCGCCATCCACCCGCATGCTACAGTTTGCCTCGTACACGTTCGACGTCGCAAACCGAGACATCCTCATCCCGCTCATGTTCGGGGGCTGCGTGTGCGTGCCCTCGGAGCGGGAGCGTGTCGAAGATCTCGGCGGGTTCATCGAGAGAACGGGTGTTACGCTCGCGAGTTTGACGCCGAGCATGGCGGGAACGCTGCGGCCCGCTTCTGTTCCAAGCTTGGAGCGACTTGTGCTCGGCGGAGAACAGATGACGGAATCGCACGTTCAGAGTTGGACGAGCGACGAGGACAACAAAGTAATGCTCTTCAACGCCTACGGCGTTAGCGAGTCCACCGGCATCGCAGCTCTTGCGCAGGATGTCCGGCTCGGTGGTGATTCCTCGCCCTCCAATATTGGCCGCGGCAATGGTTCCACGCTTTGGGTTCTCTCCATGAACGACCCTTCTCGCCTCGCGCCCGTTGGCGCTATAGGTGAGCTCGTCATTGAAGGGCCATCTATTGCACGTGGTTACCTGAACGACCCGGAGCGCACGGAAAGATCCTTCCATACGGTGCCAGAGTGGAAGAGGGCTTTTCTGCAACGGCTTGCTGAGAATAGGAATGGAGACGAGAAGAGTGATGAGAGGTTCCCGTGGACAAGAGCGTTTCGGACGGGTGATTTGGTCCGGTACAGTCCCCATTTGGACGGAACGCTGGAGTTGGTGGGGAGAAGAGATCATCAGGTGAAGGTCAATGGGCAGCGACTAGAGTTGGCGGCGGTGGAGAGCCAAGTTGTGGCTTGTACGCAACTTGACCCGTCTACAGTACAATTTCAGCATGCTGCCGTGGTGGCCGTGAAGACGAAAGGAGGAGGGGGTGGCACGAAGCTTGTTGCATTCCTCAGCGTCGAAACCTCCCGCAAGTCGTCTGCAGCAAGCCTCGAAACGAAACTTGAAGGCAGCTGGGACTTACAAGAGGTGATGCAGCATCACCTTTCGCAACGGATGCCCGCGTTTATGGTTCCTTCTGAATTCATATTCCTTCAGCAAATGCCGCTCACTTCATCGGGGAAGATAGACAGGGTGTTGCTTCAGGAGACAGCGATTCGTGAACTTTCCGACCGTCAGACCAGAGTGTCTGGTGGTGGTGGTGGTGGACAAGGTGGGAGCGAGATCACCACGACCGCGGAGAAGATTCTTGTCCAAGCTTGGTCCAAAGTACTTGACATCGACGAGGAGGGCATCTCGAGGGAAGATTGTTTCTTCAGACGGGGTGGAGATTCGATCGCGGCCATCAAACTCGCCGCACATCTTCGCGAGAAACGGATTCAGATTAACGTTGAGGATGTATTCAAGCACTCCACCCTCGCCAACATGGCCGCTCTTCCTGTCCTCGTCCAAGGCGTCAACGCTAGTACCGCCCTCTCCCAAGCATCACCACAGCCACCAGCTGTCCCGCCTCCTTTCTCGCTGCTGAAAGCTCCCCAATCAATCATCCCAACCATTCTCGAGGAAGTCGGTCTCTCAAGAGACAAGATTGAAGACATCTATCCGGCAACACACATCCAAGCGGGCCTCATCGCGCTTACGGCACAGCATAGTAGTGCGTATATCGGCAGCTACACCTGGCCCGTACGTCATGAAATATCTGTTGCAAAATTCAAACAGGCATGGGAGAAGGTATGGCAGATGAACCCTATTCTCCGGACTCGTGTTTTGCAGGTTCCAGAGGGGGTGTTTCAAGTTGTGACTGAAAGTGGTTGCGATAT